TCATGCTAATCTGGCTTCCTCTCCAATTTGTTTGGGCTATTTATCATAATTTCTGTTAAGTCTTTTCTAATTTATTGTTTCGCTATTCAATTGTATTGTTTTCCTTTCTTCGCCGCTGCTGCGACTTATTAGTCCATCATCGATAGTTCAACGAGCCAATGTTTTGATGTTTTAACGATCAAGGGGAAAGTGAGTTCAAGTTGTTGCGGTCGACCGTCCGTAAAAGGTGAGACGACTGATGAAGTGCCAAATTTGAAAGGTTGAAAGTGAGAAGTTATTGTGGCATCACAGCCATAAAGAGGTCCATTGAAGAAATTGGCTGAATTAATTTCTTTATAAAAAATTCGTAAGACAGCCATAGGAGCACATAGATAGGGGGAATTCAACAATTAGAGTAGCTTAATGCCTTTTCTTAATTGAGGTAAGAAAAGCTAAACCCTCAGAGAATCTAAGGAAAATGAATATGGTAAAGATGGGTGTATTTAATGCCTCTTTAAGCTTGTGAAAATTTCCCATTTGCACTTTCCCAGTCCCGTTGCATATGTCTTCATGTACGAGCATCCCACTTCCCAGTCAGCGACGAATTTTCTCCGCATAATTTGCCTATTTAAAATGCGTTAAACGTTAACAATTCGCTAATTAAAAGCGAAAATCGAAGACGTTCGGCGACAATATGCGTTCTCGTTAACGGTGGCTCGACCAGAAAGCCCGTTTATGCCGAAAGAAAGTGATGGAGTTCGGGATCGGGTTCTGAAAAGTTGTCAGGCCCGTTTGACATGAGCTTGGTCTGCGTGGATGATGCCGCCGATTCGCCTCCAAGTGGGTCAGGCGAACAGGAACAGGTGATGTCTGCCTGGCAGTTGTTCCATAAAGTTGACACGGCCAAAACTCTGCGGTCTCGCCAAATTATAAAGAAATAAGCCAAGTGAACAAAGCACCCTACTCTGGAAACCGCAAATGCGAAGGCCAAGTTGTGTGGGAAAACGATTGCGAAACTCACCCACAACTGGCTTACATGCAAATTGGAGCGCGTGCATCAAAGTCAAATGCAAATGACGTAACTCCCTGCGGTTAGTGACTGAAAATCGCATTTAAATCGAATCGAAACAAAACAAATCTTTAATTGCCCCCATATTTGGGATGGTCGAAGAAATGCCGTCAGCTCCTTATAGACGGCACGGTGGAAAGCAAAAACTATGGATACAAATGCCCAGTCAGGTTGGGACACTTTTTGTTGAACTTGCCATTGATTATGTGCGAATTAATAGCACCAACAGCTTCCATAGTTGACGAGGCGTGCCCAAAATTGCGAGGTCGTTCAGTTCAGATCGGTCTGTTGCCCGTTTATTGACTCGATCGGGTTGCTTTATGGCCGACTAGGAAATGCAGCTTACACAACAGTTTTGTTAACTGTTTTTCTGTATTAAACATTAGCCCGCTGCCATATTGGGCTGGCTTATAAAAGTTATTAAACACCGTGACAAGCCTGGAAAAATGTCAGTTTAATGTACTAAACATTTCCTGAACCCCAAAGCAGTGTAAATTCCCATACATTGTACTCGATTTCAGTGTTCGTCACGCATATTTAACTAAGAAATTCGTTGCCAAAATTTTTGGAAAACAAAAGAATCGTTAAAAACTTAAAGATACACGCGCTCAAATCACAGATGTCGCCTGATGACGTCAATTGGCGGGTACGTGGCGTCAGTACTTGGTACTTGGGGATGCGGATAGAAACAATTGACCACAAGACGAGACCACCAACTGTTTGCTAGCCACTGACAGACTTGGCAATTAAAATGTCAGAGCACCAGGAAAAACTTTAGAGGAACCGGGAAGAAATAACCAAGTAAACGAACAATCAACTAGCATACAAAGTTCGCCTATAATCATAATGCAACATGACTAATTAGCTGGCACAAGTTCACTTATATGCTTTGTGAATCATATGCAAATGCGATGCACTTGCATTTTGCCTTAAATAAACATACAATTCTATAAATAAATGTATATCCATTTTACTGACTAATGACTGGGCTTTATGATTGGCCAAAAATAAATGTAAAATAGCTGAAATCCTCTACTCGCAGCTGTTCATGCGTGAGTTCAAAACATGCAATGGTAACAAAACAATCACAATTTCAAATTTAAATGATAGAAAAACATCTATGCGATTCGAGGTTTCACTTTTCTAATTTGTTGTAGTGTGTGTGACTTTAATTTTGCCTTTTCGCATGCAAATGAGCGTGCAAAAATGTATCTACAGGCATTTGCAACTAACTGGGAACCGGGTGGATCCACAAGATACGGGTGATGTCTGCTGGAAAGCACTGGAAATCTGATTGATGAACCCGTTGGCATCCCTTCTTTCGCTTATTTCGCTTATGAGTTGTTTATACTACATATTATTGCTAAGTACATTATCTGTAGGAATATTACTGCTTTATGTAGGATTTCAGGCCAATTACACTGTGTACATTTTACATGTTTTTAATATATTTAAAATATTTTTGATACATTTTAGTCCTGTTCGATCATATCCCGTACTACCCTCTAGTAAAAGCAAACTAGTTGCCTGAAGAATCTGCAGTTGCAGCTGGCCGCGCATATTTCAAGATCAAGGGCAGCCAGCAGAAGTAGAAGAAGAAGTAAGAACTTGAAAGCTGCCACATGCAACATGACATAATGATAGTCATTGTCCGCCCGTCTTGGCTATAAATAGCTGGGACCTGAAGTCGGAGATCGGCAGATCGGAAGATCGCGAGTACAGGGTGCTCCGTCCAGCCGCCCACATTCCACAGTTGAGCTAATCTAGCGATAAATATTTACTTGGAAATGGCTCTTGCCTTGGCATTTTGGCTTTAGCAGAGTTAGCTATATTAATATAGATATAGCGAACTTACGGCGATTCCAGGCCGTTCCGATGGGCGTCCCCGTTCACGGGCAGCTCCGACAACTGGAATCCTCGATCCTGACGAACCATATATGCGGGCAGAGTCTCGATGATGGCATTGGCCTTATCATTGTAAGAACCAAGTAGTTCCCGGTACTTGGAGTAGACGACGCGCTTCAGCTGCGGATTCTTGGCCGACACGGAGGCGGTTGATGGCGACGGCGACGGAGATTGCAGCGTTGAGGTGGCCATTGCGTAGTCTTATTTACTTGTTTTTGTAGGTTTATTCTAATTCACTTTTGTTTTTCACTGTTTTATCTGAGTTTCGCTTTTGAATTGCACTTGCATAGCACAGAAATGAGTCGACTTTCAGTCAAATGAAGCAAATGGGTTTTAGGAAAGGCCACAGCAAAACTAATCCACATCAGATCTTCATTTATAGATACCAAATAGATAATTAGTTTTTAAATTTAAAAAGAAACTCAGGGTTTTGCCATTTTCCATCTGCTTTCCCCGTTGTCTAGGTCTGTTCTGAATCGCTTTAGAAGCTAAACAATTTAAATGAAAATATTTGCAGCCCATTTGCCAGGTTGCAAGTGCCCTTATCAGTAAATGAGCGCTGAACGAACAAAGAGTTACAATTCAAGCAGCCCAGTACAATGGGTTGTATGTACAAGCGATGTACATTTGGCCGATCTGGGGACATGCTAACAAAGGTGCTGTATTGGAGCCTAGGTGGTCGAATGACTCAACGATCGATTGTGGGAATTGAATTCAACCTTTTTGACAAGGGGCAGCCGGCAAATGGTCTGCTGACTCATATCGGCGGAGAAGAATCACTGACATTTTCGGGGGAGCCTATAACAGAATCACTATGTGGAGCAGCTGTCTTCCGTCTCGGGCTTACGCAGTTGAATTATTATTAGGCATGAGCTAATGTGCTCCGAATTAAGATGGCATTGCCTGGCCTTTCTGATAATATCCGACTATAATCACTCACTCACTAAATATTAAATTGAAAACACACGCGCTGCGCACAAAAGTATCTCGTAGGTTCGTTTGTATCTGTGTCTGTATCTGTATCTGAGGAGCGCACTGGGCGACTGATCGCAGCGGACTCTCGAGGCGCATTGAAGTCGAGTTCGGTTCGCCGGAGGTTGGACGGCACATCTGAGTCGGGTTGTTCGGCAACTTGTTGCAGATACATTTCCAGTGGCTTTGGTGGTATTGGTGGTGCCTCAAAAGGAAAACCGATCGCTTGACAAACGGCCGACTGGCACGCGGACTGTAGAGCAATTTATTTGTCTGTCAATGCAGTTCGATGATGGCGACAAATTTCCAGCTAAACGCCAAAAAGACTTTGCGACGCTTTCGTTTATCTGTATCTGGTATCTTTCGGCTGTATCTGCATCTCTTATCGTGCTACTAATTGTTTTCACTCTACTGTCATGTCGTCTGCTTATTACTTCTGTCGCTTTTCACGATTAAAACAAATCGAAAGAACGGGTACGAGTATCTCCCACTTTGGCATTATCTTTAGTTCGGAGGATTTCTTTATCGAATCTGCGCACTCGGTTTGCTCTAATTAACTCATTGGAACAAGCATCTGCGGAAATGTGGCCCACTAGCCTTGACAGAAAAATAAGTTGTTATCTTTCTGCTGTTTTTTTCTGTTATATTTTTTATTTTTTGCGACTGCTTTGTGCGCAGTTAAATAATAATTGGCAAGAAAGCGTTAAGGAATTTAAAACGCGGAATGACTGGGCTAAAAGTATTTTCTTTTTCCGCTCGACATCCACAATTTGTACGAAGTAAAAAACTTAAAATGCCACAAAGAAGGGGAAAGTCAAGAGACCACATCGGCAAACGATTATTGTGGATAGTTCTGGTCATCTACTTTCATTTCATCACATTATATAGTTTTAACCATGTCCGAGCTGTAGCTCTAATTTATTGAGTGAATCATTTAGGAAGATCGAATAGTTGACTTTTAATAATTATGTTTTGGACCTATAAATTGCCCCATAAGTTTTAGTCGCCTTGTGGGAAAGTTTATCATTCATTTGAATTTCCTTTCAAGTCACTGACATTCTATAGACCTTACATTCGAGATATAACTGATTTGTCATTTTCATTTGCTGAATATAACTGAGAGAAATAAAATTGATCCAGTTTCGAAACTATGGTAAGTTAAAACAACGGCAAGGAAAACTATGCAACTATAAAAAGAACTTGAACTATGCATTCCATGTAATCCCAACAAGAACAACCGGTTCGCCCATTTGAATCTGGAGGCGCTCTATGGAATCCCGCTGTTGTGTCCAGTGACCAAGTGCCAGTCGCAGATGTCGCCACTCGAGATGCTGGCCCATTTGCTGATGCGGCACAGTCCGCAGGAATCGATGATCGAGATCGGCGAAGACGTGCCGAAGCAGTACGAAGTGGAGGTGGATAAATTGACACCAGGTCGGAATCATTCGATGGGAGTCATAGCCTATGGAGGATCCCCGAAGACGGGTCTCAGCTTTGCGGTTACTCCGGATCTGCAGGTCGTCCACCATTTGCCCATTATACTGATGCTTTATGTTAGTCCTCCTGTCCTGAACACGGAACAGACCTACATATTCTACCTGGTGAGTCCTGTGGCCTCCAGGCTAGTGAGTGCCCATGTAACACTCCTCGACGGGGCCCATGCCCACGAGAAGCACGGATTGCGTTGCCTCCGCAATTCCCTGGACAGTCCATTGACAGATAGCGAGGGTCGGCTGTATTGCAACACGGACTACCTCCTCTACACGGCCAACGACATCCGGGAGCTGTGCCTCTCCGGAAAGCAGCGCAGGATCTTCGTCAAGATTGTGCTGCACGGTGAACCCGATCCCCTCGAGGTGGACGCCTAGCAAAAGGTGTCCGATTGAGTGACTCATTTGGTTCAATAAACACTTAAGTGCTGCGCCGCCAATTGACGCACACTTGAAACTCGAGTGGCTGTCAATAATATTCTTTCCTCAAAGAACTGTCAGTAAAATTGGTTTCCCTATTCATTCAATATCTCTGTTTTGGCTGCCGGAAACTGGGTCAGACTGAGATATTTGGCTTTGTGCAGACATCAATCATGGGGGCCATCTAATTAGTTAGCCACAGGCCTCTGATTGTAGAAAATACTAGAGTCATTTCTTCTGACCGTGAAGAATGGGATTTTTAATTATGTGTTAAATGTTGCTGTGCTCTTTTCGAAAAACAATTTCGTTTTGTTTTCTCTTTTCACTTTCGTTTCATTTAATGACCCACTTTGCTGCGTTGCAGTGGGACACTATTAGATTCTATTCTCACGCCAGGTTCTTAAATGCAACCGCGATTAAAACGTAATAATCCATTCAGATCTTCAATTTGGATAATTAAAGATTTTTAATCATAATAAATAGTTTAAAAAAATGTATTTACATATTATATTATAAATATATACACAGTATATTAAATGTTTAGATCAACGCCTGTTGGTCTGGCGATTAGTCCCATAAATTTGCCCAAAACTATGGGAAAATTAACTAGAGGCGAGAAACATAAACACTTACAAATACACAGATGCGAGCTATTTATAACTCAATTTTGAAAATATAAAGCGAACAAAACTTATACCCCATTAAATACAAAACGATCTCTCAGGAAAGTAAAAGGCAAAACAAAGATGGATAATCCAATAAAGTAGCTTTTCCCCATCAACACCCACCACCGAAGGCACGAGCGCGTATGAAACTATGATATTTCTGGCTTTTTTGATGTAGCTGACCTTGAAAAACTATCTGAACGACGGGGAAAAAAGTTGTACGTACGCAAAAAATGAAAGAAAAACAAACGCAATCAGGGAAGCCATTCATCACTTTCTACGTCCACTTGAGTGTGCAACTCGTTTTGCATTTGTCATTTAGCTGCGTTGATTGCATGACATGAGCACATCAGACAGGGAGCCGTTGGGTCTGCGATTGGGTTTGGGATTGGGTCTGGTCGGTACTCGCAATTATTTATATTAATCTGGCCTGGGTCAACGTCAGCGATCCCAGGTGAAAGCGAAACGCGGACTCTGCCCCAAAAGCCCGTTGCACAATCGATGGCGGTAATATTTCTCATTCAGTTGTCTTGCGGAATATATGCGCATACAAACGCGAATTTCTGTATATTTTTCCTACCATGACCACATGTCGTCATTCATGGTCGGTCGTTTTTGGTCAGATAGGCAACCAAATCCAGCCAGCGCCTTTTTGCGATTTTTCAAAAATTTCCTGCAGCTCGAATTGGTGCTGGATGAAAAATTGCCATGTTATTGATTTGTAAAAATGCAAAAAATAACCGAACCATGAAAATTCGATTTTTGTTTGTGGAGAAAGTGTGAAGAAATAAAACACGCACAACCAAAACATTTTCCGTGAAAACAAACAAATAATACAATTCATGGAAAAATCTGGGAAAAATGGTTTTAATTTTTACAATTTCCAAAAGAAAACATTTTTAGTATAATTCTGTGATTGTTTATAAGTTTTGAATATTTTAAAGACACATATTTAAAAAAATAACCAAAGTTTTGAGTTGTCTCACAAAATAATTGAACTATGAAAACGCGTCTTTAGTGAGCTACATTTTACTGCACATTGATTGTGTCTCCTCCATCAATCAAATTTTATTCCGAGGCATAAAGGCAAGTGAATCATTGAGTCAACTATCATGGGAACGATCTAGGTACATTCACATCGCTGTCCAATAATCAATTCCCAATGCTGTTGAACTGTCATATGGGTGTGGTTTTATTTCTTCTGCCTTATCCACTGGGGAATCTTCCTTTGGGTTTAGTACCCTATTCCGCATACAAATTTCACGGTCAACTGCGACCAACTTGAACTTGGGACAAGAAATCTGTTTACGAATTTTACAAGTGCAAAAATGTATAAAATAAATAAACTCACACCTGATTTACGCAATCAACAAAAGTGAAAAATAAACCGACAAAGAAGTGTGAAAATAATTGTCGCTGACAAAAATCAAAGTCATGTCTGGTAATGCATCACAGTCTCAGGCATTAAAATGCGAATAATAATTTAAGCTAAAATAAACATTAACACTTTAAATACATGTACATGGTCAATATTTATTCCAAGTTCACACGTAAAATTTGTAAGTACGCATAGTCTTACAACATATACATTTCATACATTGTTAAACGTGGCGTATACTTGATGTTTTACCCTATTATAATACGTAATTCAATTAAGACCAAAACTTCTAAAAGTGAAATATAAACAATGAAAATTAAGAAAGCCCGAAATTCAATATTCAAATAGAGGTCTTAGTGCTTCTTATTTTTTCCTAATGCTTGACCCAATTTTCTCGATCTATTATCGCAGACTTCCGTGGGTGCTGAAAATTTATGCGCCACACATCAACGTCAACAGCGAAATGCAAAAAAATTATACTGACTGAGGAACGAGAAAAAAAAATAAAACAAATGCATTTTATGCCAAATTCCTGGCTTTTTGTTTTGAAAGCTTCTTGAGTTCTCGTTTTTATGATGTGCGTGGCTTCGAAGGAAACTTCCGGTGAATGCCGTCAGCCGTCTAAATACCCCACACGTGTGCCAATTGCCTCTAGACGAAGCCAAAAGACAGCTGCTGCCGGGTCTAAAACACAAAACTGTACACCAGCACAGGGTCCGAGTGAGATGTTGTAGAAAAATGGGAAATTTAATTAATTAATTCGCTTAGAAAAGCAGGGGAAAACACCGAAAGTGTCGCCTGCCAAAAGCGCGTGCAACATGGGACCAGCCAAAGAAAAGAAAAAACTATATAGAGATTCGAGTGTGGGCGTGGGGCATCGATGGCCTTCAAAAAACTCGTGTGTGAGCCTTAATTGTAGCGGAGATCATAAAAACGTTCAGACTACAGATACTTATAGGCCCATACAACTGTGGTCAGAACAATAGTGGTGGCCAAAAGACTTGTAAGTGCCTATAAGACTCATAAAGCCAACTTTTTAAATTACACATGGCCACGAAAAGGTTTAAAATTATTTTAAATATCTTTAATAGGTCTGTTAGACAGATCAGCAGTAAAAAATATTATTAAAATAAACCACATTTGTTGATTGAACTATTCTTTTGCCGCAGTTTAAGAAAACTAGCGCTAATATATAGAATTGTGCTTTAGATACATACATCTGTTTTATGTTATGTGGTTTGGATTTTCCCCGGCAAAAATCGGGTGTACTTTTTATTAGTTTATAAGAAAATATAGAAATATTTATTATGATAAATAGTCATAAAATAAGTCAGTTATTTTGTTCCTTTCCAGAATTGCGAAAGTAATCCTTACTGCAACTATGTTTTCTTTTAGAACTCTTAGCACTACATTTTTAACTTACCCAGAACTCATGTCAGCCGCTTTTTCCGTATTTCAAGTTCAACTTCAAAACACTTTAACACCACGCCTACACACAGCCGCCAGTCGGAAGAAATCGCGATATTTAGATTTTGTCGTAGGCGTTGGTTTTCGCCAAACGCACGCAAGTTCTACGAAAAGATTTTGCAAACGACGCCTATGCACACAAAAACACTGAAAAATGTATGGAAAATTATTATTAAATTATGAATATTGAATCGAAAATTATTTTTCATCAAAAATCACGCGTTCTTATATAATTTGCGGCACGGACACAAGCGATCCACTCGGAAATAGTTTTTCCCACAAGTACATTCATATATGTATGTATGTACATATAATATAATGTGTTCAATATCGTGCCGATTTTGATATGCATATACTCGTATATAGAAACTAGTTAGTAAGGCTATGACTTTCGGGTTTTGCACTGTTTCAAAACTATGAAACCCTTTTCACCAACGTTCTTTTCGATATTTTGTAATTTGCTATTTTTAAAACGCGGCGCGACGCAATGCTCACTTTTGCCAGAGAAAATACTCGTATCTATATCTATATATATTCGTATATATATACAGCCCAGCTAGATGGTATAGATATATCTATGTGTTAGTTTCTAGTTGAAAATTTCTTTATTTCGGATGGTTTTCTCGTTTGCAACGCGTTCAAGTTAGCAGCCCAAGTCGCACTGAATTCGCACACGAAATTTTCTCGGCCGAAAAGCCGAAAAGCACATTTCACATTTCGAAATAAATGCTCCTTCTTCTTCAGTACATATTCTATTCGACCATCGGTCATGTCCGTGTCTATATTGGTGCGTTTGTAGTGGTCACAGTGCGATTGTGTGCGTAGTTTGAGCATGTGTAAAGTGCGTCTGCTCGGAAAATTCGATGAATTTTGAGTTTATTTAAATGAAAGAAATCTAAAAGTTGAGAAAGCCCGCGGACGTTCGTACTTATTGTTTTCCTCTTTTCCGATCCACACAATAATTCTAATAATGTATTTACACCCAGGGCCGATCATCGTCGAGCTAATGCGCAATGCACTTAAACAAATTACGGATGCTCCCACATATCACACTTGACTGGTTCCAACATTTTGATCGGCTGTGCACTTTATAGGTCGAATTAGGATAGATTTCTTAAACAATCATCATAGTTTTGTATGTTTTGGCAAAGTATAGAAGTTCCACTTGTAAAATATTGATTGAAATTTGAAATGCTCTAAGTCAGCCTACAGCTTTTGTGTAAATTTATTGAGTGGTAAGCAGAAAATAAGAAACTGCATTCTGAAATTTCAATATTTCAATAAAGAGTTGGCTCCGAAAAAACAAACAAAAGAGCTCCGACACAATGTGAAAGATTCCATTTGGATGTTCTGGTTGCGTCTCCTGGCCAAATCTGATGATAAATCATTATAAATCACATATGCTTGAAAAATAAATAACACAAGAAGACCGCTGAAAAAACATTCAGTGTGTATATGTAAATGTATGTATTATAAACAAGGCAAAAAGAGCGATGCTGGGGAAATAGCAAATCATTTTTCTTCAGACGGTTAGGCGATTTTCATTATTAACGCTAGCATTTTACATTTACAAGTGCCTGACTGGACCACCTGTCCAGGAAAATGGAAAAGCATAACAAACTTGGATGATGCCTCTCGATTATAAATAGACCGCTGCCTCTTTACCAAGATAATGTGGGCTTACATATAAATGTAGGCATACGTAGTATAAAGACAAATATCGGTTTGTACTTTTATTTATTTTTGTGCAAAATGCGCCATTCAATCGTAAAAATAGATCTTTGAAAAGCGCACAGGGCGCTGAGTCAACGAGTGCCTCGAACATTAACCTCATTAGAAGATCGAGAAATAATTTTCGATTCCCGTGTGCGAACACTTTCGACTCTCCGCCTTGATTATGTTTATCGGGTGTGGTCTATAGCCCCAACAAAAAACCCTGGCAATGAATGCACACAGTAAAGATATATATAACTAATGAAGCAGGCCACTCGTTTGTCAATCTATGCGTTATCTAAAAAGTTATCTAAACTACATAATGTGTGTGATCAAATTTGTTGTGAGTGATGACTAGCTTTCGGGAACTGCGATTCGATGATTTGCTCAAAATTAATTCCTTAGTTTTCGATGCCCTCACCGAGGTTTATAGCCTGACCTTCTTTGTGAAGCACCTCCTGCAGTTTCCAGGACTTTCGCAGATTGCCGAAGCTCCAGGTCCTGATGGCAGACCCATGGGATATATATTCGGCCAGTATCAGGTCAAGAGGCACCAGGAACCCTATGCTCATGTGGCAGCATTGACTGTATCACCCGAGTATCGACGTCTTGGAGTGGCCACCGCTCTCATGGATTATTTCTTTGTGGTCTCAGACCTCAAAGGAGCTTCCTACGTAAGCCTCTTTATGCGAACCAGTAACCAGGCTGCCTATCAGTTGTATACTTCCATGGGGTATGCTCATCGGAAAACATTCCAGGACTATTATCCGGATGTCCCGAAGCCGGAAAGTGCCTACGAATTGAGAAAGTACGTTCTCCGCCCCATGGAGGTACAATAAGCAGTACCATCGCGGTGCCTTCGGAATAAATTGAAAGCTTTTTTTGTATTACACAGCTAATTAAAGAAAACCCATTGAGGTGAAAATTTAAAGGATGATCAATTTCCGTTGACGCACAAAGACCAACTATATCTAGGGTGGACATCAATCATATAGTACTCTTTAGGTCATCACTCATACGCCATGGTACGTTGCTACTACGAGATTGGGAAAATCATTCTTTTCTCATTATAATCTCATTCATAATCTCATTAAATGAATTTAATAAAAAAGTGCTTGTTTTTAATATAATATAATATTTTACTTTAAAATGTACACAAGATCTTGAAGGAATCTTCATACCGCACGGATTTCAAAGGTCCACTCTAATGCTGGCAATGCATATACTTGTTCTTTAACCCAAACGCATTGATGTTCGTGTCGCTTGGCAAACCAATTCAATTGCGAATTTCCGTTTCGAAATGGTCAAGGCTTTCGTTGTTGTCTTTTTTATTAGCTACATTTCTCAAAAGCAAACAAATTAGAAAATGTATATTGTATAAATATAAAGTGTAGTCTGGTTGGGGCATGTGTCTGAAACACGCGCAATGATTTCCACAATTTGGCTTTTGCGCAACTTGAAACGCACAGCATTTGAAAATTCTGGTTCAATGTTGTCATATAAACAAATCATGTTTCCATATGCTTTCTGACATATATTCTCAGGTCTACATTTCTTACTTTGAGCGATTTGGTCAAACTTTTAGTTGAATGATGGCAGCCGAGTGCAATGAACTTTTTCTGGATGTTTCCCAAGTGGTTAAATTTATATATTTTGATACCAAATAAAGCCTAATAGTTTTGTGCTGCTACAATTAGCTATACAATCAATTTGCCACCAATAACTATACTTATAATTCCGAATATGTAAAACATCAGCAAATAGAACAGCTTATTGCCGAAGCTGTAGATTTTGTTTATCCTAATTCCATTTAGGGACTTCCTGCCCACATCGCGAGACAAAGGCAATCTCATTTCATATCCGTGATCGTCGGCATAAAACTGAGGCATCCAGCTATATTTCACATAGCCCAAGGACTCGTAAAGCCCAATGGCATTTGTATTCTTCTCCCGCACAAATAGATCTACATAGAAGTCTTTCTCACGATCCATCATATCCCTAACAGTTGTTAGGAGCCGAGTGGCCAAGCCCTGTTTTCGATAATCATGAGCCACAGCCAGAGCCGAGACGTGTCCATGACTCCAGCTCACAGGCTTTCCAGCTCCATAGGATTCAGTCGCATCCTCGCGTGTCCCCAGGATGAAGGCGATGAGACGGTTGTCAGGAGCATCGGCCGCAAGAACCAGTTCGGGATGCTCCAGAATCCTGGGAATTAGGAACGGCAAGGTATACACTTCCACCAAGGGATCCATCACAATGTGGTTAAACTGGAACATGTCTTCGAGAACAAATAGTCGTGAAGAAGTCATGACTCGCAGAGATTTAATAAAATTTTGTTTCTGTCTCAGTTACCAAAAGATCTTTCTGGCGACTACCAATATATTTGACCTATTGTATAGAACGGAATTTATCTTTGCGATTCGGAAAGAAATACTTAGTAAATGTGCGTAAGATCTTGAAATCGCCGATAAACTTAAAAAGAGAACAACTCTGACACAAAAGCCCGGCATACTTTTGGGCATTTCGAAAGTCTAGGTCTACAAAAATGTTATTTTATTGAATCGTCGCTCTTAATATATTGCAGCATATCACGTCTTAGACTAATCGGAATCCTATATTTATTTAATGTTCTTGTAGATCCAGGGCAGCAGCGAAGTGACGCGAGTGTAGACGCCAGGATATTGACCCTTGCCGCAGCCAATGCCCCAGGACACGATTCCCACCTGGGTGTATCGTCCAGCATCATTGATGACCATGGGTCCGCCAGAGTCGCCCTGTGGATGCAAACAGTCGGAGAATCCTGATCATTAATATGATATATGTCTGCACTTACACTGCAGGAATCCTTGGCTGCCTGACCAGCGCATATCATCGACTCAATGATCCCACCAGGTGCGGCACGTCCGTACTTCCTGGCACACTCGGCATTTGTCCAGATGGGAATGTCCACCTTCTGCAGGATGGAGGGCTGGGGGCCATTCTCCCGAAGACTACCCCATCCGGCCACGGTGGCCACTTGGCCACTGTACGATCGGGATTGCTGCGAGAGCGAGGTGGGCAGACAAATCGGTTGGATCTCCCTGGTGAAGGGCACAGGTTCACTCAACGTCAGTATGGCCACGTCATTGTGCTGGCAAAGAGTTAAGCCGTTTATCATTTGAATGGATGGATTGGATTCACTTACCAAGGTGCTGAACTCAAAGCCCTTGTGCCGCACAAGACGCTTGATCCTGCGGGACACATGCTGCACCTCAAAGTCCGTGCCGATGTTGTAGTCACCCAGATGGGCCGTCAAGGCCGCCACATCCCACGAGGTCATGCTGAAATGCGCACAAGTTTTTAAGATTCTTTTAAGGGACTCGGTGGTTCTCCTCACCGTGCCACACAGTGAGCTGCGGTGAGAATGTGGCTGTTGGTAATTAGACTGCCGCCGCAGAACTGCTTTCCCGACTTGAAGAGCACAGCTATCCAGGGGAATTCGTGTGGACTGGCATTGATGCCCCCAACAATCCGCTCCTGGTCGGGCGTCACGGGATTCTTATTGCCGCACTGCAGCGGGAGTCCCTCCGCACTAGTTCCGCTCACAGGACGTCTCGTAGTAGTCGTGGTTGTAACTGGCGAGGGATAACCAGGATAAGTGGGTCGCCTGGTGGTTGTCGGTCTGGCGGGGCTTGTGGGCCTTGGTGTGGTGCGCTTGGTGCTTGGAACTCCCCCTGTGGTGGGATGCGTGGGATAATGGTGGTTCGGCGGATGGGTGGGCAGCGGTGGTGGCCAACCGCCCGTGGTGGGTGGGTGCGTCGGTAGCGCTGGTGGCCACTGGCCGCCAGCAAAGGAGCCAAAGGGCCACTGGTAGGGATGAATGGTGGACGCTGGCTGGGTGGGAATAGGCTGCTCCACCGGTTCCACCGCTGGCTCTGCTTCTGGTTTTTGATCTGCTTCTGGGGGATTACCCTCAATTGTGTTGCCGTCCTGGAAATCCGGCATATCCTCCACACTGTTCGGATTGTCAATGGGCTCTTCCGGTCGAGGAGCATCCGCAGGATATTCACCCTCCACTTCTCCCTCGGGAATCAAATGTTCCCTGTCCTCCTCGTCAGCCACCACTGAAGGCTTCTCCGTAGTCGTGGTCGTCGTTCCAGGCAGTGGGAATACCCCAAAAGTGTTGGCATCAATATCCGTGCAGCAAATGCCATTGTTAACTCTGCCCAGCAGATCGAAGAAGTTGCACATATTGCCGTTTAGGCCAAGTCCATTCGTCTGTGGCCATTGACGCAGGGTGAAGATGGATAACTGGCGGGCCAGCCTGTAATACTGGCGACACCCATCGATGCGCACACACACACCTGGTTGGCCAAGGGATGTCAAACACTTGGATCCCTCGCCAGGACCCCAGCCACCAGCAACGCCCGAGGCTCCGAGAGCTCCTTGCCATAGCAAAATGCTCGGATCGAAAAAGAACTGACGACGCTGGCGATTCAGATTTGGCGATGGGGCATCTGCAGGACAAAAAGAGGGCTCAGAAATAAAATTTAAGGATAAGAGAGAGTCTGAAAACTCATATTCCGTATATAAAAGGGTAACGTAATTTACAATAACAAGTAACTAAAGAATACTTTATACCTAAACTAAAATATTCCAATATAGGTTGTAAATACTTCCTAAAAAATGTGTAGTCTTCTACCTCTAAAGTGATCATTTTACAAAATATATTAAATTTCAACTAACTACATTTAAAATAAATTACTAATAAAATTATTTATAAATTAGATGACTGTGTTTAACCAAAATAAGCTTGCATATTTCTGATGTAAATGAAGCAATGATTCTATATTTGGAAAATATATGTGGCACTTGGGGAACTGCTGATCATATCTGGGGCCACTCGAGATCAGAGTTTGTTGACCCCTGAAAAGATTTGAGCTACATACGCAATTGTCTAGCCAAAACTATGGTACTTTACAACTCATTTTTTGGCCAATCTGTCGCGCTATTGACAAAGCACCCAAATAACAAAAAACAGATATGAGTGGAGAAAAGACCAAGCCAATATTTGCTTAACATTCGTTCACGTTTCGGGTTTTGGGTCCACGCTTCTCGGCCCGTTGAGAGTGATTACTCAATATTTTGACATATTTCGCTGGCCAGAATATTGACAATAAACTTAAGCTCTTTCCACACGGAATGACAATTGCTGTGCCATTTCACAGATGCTGAATTTGCCCCCCACTGCGGCAACTTTCTACTGTCAATTGTCATATATTTGTCATGTTCATTGGCGGCTTCTTAAAATTGGTCTAGGCCTTTGTTTCGGTCGCCGGCTCTTTTCTAATTTCATCGTATAAGCATTGTTGTTGCTATTTAGCATGAATTTGCCATATTTTTTATTTATTACGCATGTTTTGGACTGCTTCTGGCCCACAAATATAGTTCGAATGGCTCGGCAGCGCATAAAATTTGACTAAACAAGGGGTATGCTCAGTTTATCTTGGGGCTTAATTCCTAACGAGCTATTTGCCTTTCTGCCGATTAATTTAAACGATCTTCTTGACAGGCTCTAAAAAACTTAATTGCTTTCGTTGGGGTGTAAGTTTTATTGACTCTAAATCGAGCATAAGAGCAATTTGTCACAGGAAAGACTAAGAAATCTGCACGTGGCTTTTGCTTTACTGACACAAGTCGTAATGAAGAATACGTTCAGTTCGTGATACGAATAGGTAATGAATATGCATGTCTTTTTGGTTTTCTGAAAAATGTTTTCATTTAACAATATAAATCCTACCATCAGCCCAAAGTGCTAAGGCAATCGTGACTCACTTGACAGGAATTGTTAAATGAAACCTATGTTTGTGTGGTTCCCCAAAGAAAGTCACCGAAATATTACTCATGTGCCCCAAATATCGTTAAAAATTGGTGTGCTTTTTGTTTATTGCTTACTCGACATTACTTTGATTCTTTTTAAATTGTTATGACAAGCTGTCGGAGGCCACAAATTGCCTTTGATTGATCGGCGATCCTGCTTTGAATTCGACACACTTATCGCGGCTTTAAAAGCTGAGAATGTTTATAATTCTTATAAAAAGAAAAGGAAGGATAAAATACTTAAATGAAATATAACAAATATTGTGCCAAATGGATTGCATATGTAACTGCTTCTTAAATAACTAGATCAGTTTATGTAAAATTTACACTTTATATGCAAATATATGTAGCAAGATGAGGATATTTTTTTTTATTTTAAACTAGCTACATACATATGACTTCTTCTTGAACGTTCCTATAACTTGAGTGGTCCTTGCACCTCAACCAAACCGAAGTTCAACTGGTTTTCTCTTGATGCAAAAGACTTGCAAGGCGTTAACTAAGAATCAGGGGCAAGTTACAAGTTCAAGGTCTGCACGACCGTTACAGCTCGTGTGCTACTGAAAACCTGAATTCCGACGCAGGATGCCAGAGAACTCGAGCTGCAGCTCTACTTTATGGTGGCTTGTAAATTTTATATGATCAACGGTCATATAAACGATATTTATCGCGATTCCAGTCGAGCAAAGTGGGCAAAATGCAAATAAAAATTAATTTTTAATGAATATGGCTTGTTGAATCCGCAAAAGGTGTCGGCTTATTGCCTTTTATATGGCATTCGTTTATGGCCCAATCTGCGGGGCATCCCGAATTAATAGGCTTATGTCGTCGCCCCGAAAAACATCACCACAGATCACGCCTCTCCATCAAAAGTGCTGTCTAATTCTCTAATTGTCTAATTGTTGGCCGTAAATAAAAGAGAATAGATTGGCGGGACATTGACAGGCGACAGAACACGATTGACAAGCTGAGTTGATCTAAAAATTCACTCCTACATGAGTTCTAGTTGTTTTTGCAATAGAAAGTTTTCTATAACTGGCTCAAAGGGCAGTGCCTAGCGACAAGCCGTCTATGTGGGTATAAGGTAAACAATGTTGAGTACACAAACTCGTAGTGCCGAACATCGCATTTTCCCCTCAAACTTAAAGCGATTTATAGACTTCTGAAGGTCATACAAGTAATGCTTGGTGCGTGCCGCGCATAAATTCTACTGTCGAATCAGAAAAGTGTTATTTTGATGTCGTTGAACTTCACTTTATAATAGTGACGTATTTTGAAGAGTGACTATTCATAGTACTGAAGCCATACATTCTATTCCAATATACATTTCCAGGTTATTCAACAAAATTTGCCATAATACTAGGGATTAAGGAATACAAAATAAGGACTTCATGTTCCTTCAATAATATTATCCGGTTCACACAGAAAATTGAGGGGAAATATTTGAAAGGAAATGCATGGTAAAGATTTTCTAACATTTTAAAAGCGTAGGTAAGGATACATTTAAGGATACATTAAGTAAGGATACTCCAGTTTTCTTCATCCCTATTTTCGATTTCTTTATACTTTCAAAACTTTATAATTGGAAATAATTTGGGTGTTTATTACTGATTAACATTTTTATTGGTAACAAATTTTTTGGAGTGCTAGTTATAACAAATTCCTACGTTTGTGCCTTAAGTCTTTCGATTACAGTTTAACCGACTGGTGCTTCTAGTTCTCATTCCTTGAATCCAGTCATATCACTTACCCACCACCGATCCCCCGAGACTTTCCTCAGCCGTGGCATTGGCTTTAAACAATCCTGCCTCGGGCGCCGCGTTTATATCACCATTTGGCCACACAGGAGCTGGAGCTAGTGCCCCTCCTGAAACGGATGGGAGATCTGCTGCCGAGATAATTTTAAAATGCAGCAAATGCACACAAAGTAATAAAACTGGCAAAAATGCAAACATTTTGATATTTGTTGCTTTCGCTGCGGTTATATCTTCCCAATTTGTTTTCGTTTTGAACGGGGCAGACCATATATAAATTGACTGCTATATTGTATTAAGAACCGCCAACACGAATCGCGACTCAGAATATATATCTCTTCTGGAATGCCAGGCACGTTGCCCCGATGGCATTCACCTGACCACGACTACGATCCCGAAGACGAACTTCTCGGACTTGGACTCGGACTTGCTCTGGATCGCGGTACGCGGTACTGGAATCTTGACTTGAAGTACTCGTGCGTTAGACGGACAGGACCGTCTTTTTGGCTCGAAGCTCCGATCGCTTCTGAGCCAACAGAAGTTCTGGGGATTGGTTAACAGCTCCGTTGCCAAAACGACGACGGAGGCAGCGACGTCGGCAGAAATGTTGTGGCCGGAGCAGAAGTGTCCATTATAAACGCGTTTCTTTCGCCGGATAACTTTTGGCCGACTTATTGGGCCGCCTTCTAATGTACACGCGACGCTGGTTACCAAACTAAACTAGTTGCAGCAACGCCTCCATTTCCAGTGCCCACCAGGCGTCTGTCTTCTAACCAGGTTCCGATCCCGATCCCGAATCCGATCCGGAACACGCACCAAATCAGACTGAACAGCGGCCGGGAAGTTATGCGACTGCATACTATTAAAAGAAAAATCCAGCTGCGGTTGCATCTTCTCGTTCTCGCTTAGTTAGCCATTAATATGCATACAAAAAAATGTAATAGTAAAAATAAGTAGAAAAATTAGTCATTATGCTTATTTACTTACTGCATTTACTTCAAAAATACACAAATTTTAAAATATGTTGGTAATAATATTTTAAAAGTACAAATAATCCCAAAATGGGCTTTCCATAATAATTCAGCCAACTTACCACCTTAATTCCTCGGTGCATGACTGGATTGAGTTTCCATTTAAATTCCAAGGTGCATAATGCATCGGGATCTTCATTTTCCACCAGGTGAGTATAAGTAGACCCGTTTGAATTCATCGCCTGATGTAAGTACTTTCAGTATTTAACATGCAAAGTTTACGACGTTTAGCGAGCATTTTACCGGTTGTACGGAGGATTCCTCTTGCTTCTGCATTTAAAATTATTCAGCATTGATCAGGGATTTGTTACAATCGTATTAGTAACGCTGAGATCGGGCGACGCCTTGGGTGTTAGAAGCATCACAAATTAAGTCAATTGTTTCCTAAGAATCGGCCAGATCATTTCAATAAAAAAGCACTCGACCCAAGTTCCATATATTGATCGATGGAAAGTTAAGTGTCACGGCCTGGACCTTTGCGGGATAATTGTATTTCAATATTTTGCCAACTAATTGTTGGTAATTGGAAGCCTTGGGGCACATTCGCACCTTTGATTGATCGACAAGTGGGAGTGTTGAATATTGGTTTGAAAGGCTCTCCAGTGGGATTGGTATCGATCGAGTGTGCATTTCTCGGCAACTTCAGTTTCATACAATTGGATGTTCTGACAAGGGAACATCGCCCACTCAATGTTCAATGAACCTCTTCGGAATTGGAGCCATTCATATATTTTTAATTAGCTTATTTTTTATTTTTCCGGCTGGGTATATTTATGGTAGCTAAACATTTTAACATTATTTCTCAGATATTCGATTTGAGCAATAAGCAAAAGAAAATAGACAATTTTTTTAAAAAAACATTTTCATACCAAATGTCAGATGTTTTTTTAGAGTTTGAAGTCCCAATAAAAATTGAGTTTTAAAAAATACATGTCAAATACAATTATCTTTATGAATAGATCTCCAGGTAAAATACATTAAATTTACCTGTCAAGTGTACGTAATAAAATTGTGAGTCGAGCGATTATCCAAAGAGAGCATACTTTCAGGATCGATAATACAAACAGGGTAGAAATAACTTGCAAAAGCTTTGTAAACTAATTAATTATAACAAAACTAGCAAACAAGTTACACATTATTGGAAAGAGAATTTATTTTAAAATTTTCACATAACTTCTATCTTTGTTCAGAATAGATGATATAAATAAATATAAATTGGTTATGTTTAAAATCATTCCAAATGATTGCCAAATCGTTTGTGCATAGAAAATTATTTGGAAACAGCGCTTAAGTTAAATTTGTAGTCGTTAACATTAGGCTTAAACTAACTAGGAGCTAAATGTTCCTTGAGGACGCGCTCAGTGCATCATTGAACCAGGAATTTTTCGATGGGTACCTTGGCGAAGAACTCGTTGATGTGGGCAATCAGAATGGGAGCCCATTGTTCGCGGGTGGCGGGAATTCCGACGCGAGTGATTTCTGGCAGATTCTCGTTGACCAGATTGAGAATCATGGCATCTAGAAGGTTACAATATCTATCAGCTTAATGAAAATTAAAGGAGAGTAAAGGGCTTACTGAGGTTGCGATCGGAGAAGATGCCATTGGCCACCACCTTGGCATCGCCGATATTGACATTGGCATTCAGGCGGTGTAAACTGAGACGCTGCTGACCACTGGGCAGCTGTTCGATGTGGCCATCGGTCAGAATGGTGGCCTTGATGTTGTCTGGGGGAATGTGAAAGTATCAGGCACATGCTCTGCTTACTTACTTACTTTTCAAACCGCCACTCACCTATGGTAATGTTGAAGGGCCCCTTGGGCACCAGACGCAGTCCTCCGAACTTCACGTCCGCCTTGAAGTGTCCACCGGCCTTCAGTTGCGGCAGTTCAACGCCCAACTTAATTATGAAGCCGTTCTCGGTGAAATTTGCTGCTACACTGTTCACCTGCAACTGGCTGATGCCATAGATCTCCATGTTCTTGATCAGGAGTCCGCCCTGGATGCCATCGTTGGTGTACCGAAAGATGCCTCTCTTGTAGAAATACGGATCAATCGAGTCCATGTTAAACTCTGGCACGCCCTGATACCTTAGCCTAGGTGCAAATGACTGGATCAAGCCGCGAATGCATTCGTTCAGATCCGTAGAGCTCAAGCTACAGGGTGTCACCTCATTCGAGCCACTGGCCAGACTAGCCACCGCTGGTGCAACTGAAAGGCGAAAGTGATGCGAGATTAGTTCACTAGTCGGTTAAGTCATGGTTAGGCCAGGTTGTAAAGTTCGTCGAGGCATAGCATACCACAGCAAAAGAGCCTGACCAAATGCGAAGTTCATAACTATTATATTTATTCAATTTTTCGCTTTTAGTGCCAGCCAACCAGGCATGACGAAGTTCACGTGTCCCTGTCGCCACGTGTCTTCTGTCATTTGCGAATGGGGTTTGTGTCATGCTGCCACTGGCCTTTGTGATAAGATAGCGTATTTTAAGGCTTTGTAAACAATACATTAAAAGCTAAATCATTATAAAACTTTTTTAGTCTTGTAATTTAGAAATATGCATTTATACTCATTATTCTTTTTTTACTAACGTGACTGGACGCAGGAAGAGAAACCATCATTACTTGTTTGTCCGTTGCCAAGCAGTAATGCATTTTATTACCAATTATTATTAGAAACTTAAATTCAATATTTCTCCACTGGGGCTTTAATAAGCAATAGCATTTTCTAAATGTGCGCGTATCATAAAAAACAATATAAAATACCTAAAATGCAAATCCAATGCCAATTAAGCTAAACTTTAATGCTATACTTTAATGAAGTTAAGGAAGTTTAACAATGAGTTGTTAAAATGATATTTTACTTGCAACGATATTTAGTCACGCCACTAATTGTTTTTATCTTCTCCTTCTAACGACAAGCGGAAAGCAATTATTTTAATGTTTCTTGGCAAGGCAAGTCCGAATCCAAAATATATGAACACTAATTGAAGGCATGTAATTAAGAATCTGAAGAATGAGACAAACTTTGGTTAATTTAAAGGCAAATTACGCACGTGAACAGCACTATTAAGTCATTTGGCTTGAGTGCTCAAAAATTTCCCACTGTTTTGTTTTAAATCGTTTTTCCCCTGTTTCGCCTGACAAGTTCAATGTCAAAGGTTAGCTGTTATGGCATAAAGCAAATCCGAACCCGAAATGTCGAAAATAAGAGGTGACAGAAAAGGGTTGGGTCGAACTCAAGTTCGTTGCCTAAGTCCTTTGTTTGCTCAGGCAAATGTCAATAAATTTGTGCTCGCCGTACTTTTAGTACCTAAAACTGGCGGTTTTCTTTGCGCAATTAGAGGCAAGTTACAATTACAGCTTTCAGTTTGGCACAAGCCCAGCTGCGACGTTTACGCATTGATGTAGGTCAGTTTTTCAGCTTTTCGCTTTATGTCAGCTCGGCGGTAGTCATGATAGTCTTGGTAGACACGGCAGCCGGTTTCGGATCGGATTTAAGCCTCGTTTTTGCTTTTGTTGACGCTGAACTCTTTTCGCAAGAGCGCAAACAACAGACATGCACACATACACAATCACAAACAGTAGCCAACACCTCGTGCTTGATTAAATTAATGTAATTGGCAATATTTCATAGCCTGCATTGTCTCGTGTTTATTCTGCATTTATAACTCGGACCAGCTTGCGTCACAATTTCTATTTACCCAATGATTTAAGCCTCAGCTTGATAACTTTTACCACAAAAAACATGTGTAAGTGTGTCAAGTTCAAGTGGCACAGGCGATGACTTGCTTGTCGCTTTATTTTACATATTCCACTTGCCATTTCAAAAGCGTTAAAAGGCGAAATAAATAAAAAGATTTTACTGCAAATACACTTGCTAATTTCTATTGCAATTTCATTTTCTATAGTCTGGACTTTACTCTTGGCAAATCCCATCAAAACACCTTTTATGATGGCAGTACTTTTCCCAATTTTGAAGGTCACAGGCTTATAAACGTGGTGTCGAGTGTATGCGCAATACAGGTAAACATTTCAAGAAGGTAAACTTTTTACAATGAGTAATCGCCGCGGATTGGCATGGAAGGCACACCGGACACGGCCTGTACTGAATTTAAAATAAGAAATCATATTGTCTGTGAAGTATAGACAGCAAATGAAGAACATTTTGACAACAGGAAGTTAGATATTACAGAAAGATTTAAGAGCGCGTTTGCAAACAGCGTTTTTTACTTTTAGGTATTTGGCTAACAAGTCTGTTTCCTGTCTAGTTGCCAAACTTTAAATCCAGCTTAAGTTCACAAATTTATATAATTAATTGAATATAATATGTTGGTCTATGTCTTTTTTGAAATATAAAACTATCTCTAAAGAATATGTCACTAGTTTAAAAATTTATTAAAATAAAGGCATAACATTTGCAAATGGTATGAAAAGATAAGCGAAACCGCGTAAATATGATGAGTAATATCAATAGTATATCTTAAATAAAAACAATATTTCAACATGCATATAGTATTTTCGCCCGATCGTTAAGAACTTTTACCTCGATCAGAGTACACATCAAATGTGAGATATGCTAGGTTTAATGTTTAAACAACACACTGCAGTCGAGAACGACAAATTGTATTTGGCAAACGAAAGACTTCGACAACGAACTCGTTGACTTAAGCTGCTTTAATTCTATATATAAGTCTATATATTTGAGGGCGTGGGAAGGGAGTGACATTTTGTTTGACTATCAAGTTCCTTTGTACGCTTGCATAAGAAACTTTACCTGCATCGCCAAAATCGATTGAACTGGAGGGCAAAGCCACATCGCTGGGAGACTTCACCGCCAACTCCTCGACCGGACCGGAATTTGGATTCGGTTTAGGATCGGAGCTAAAAACACTGGGTGCGGAGGTTGGCAGCGTGGCCGCATAGCCACTTCCGAGTGCCAGGGCGGCCAAAATAGTGAGCGAGATGCAAGGCAATTGCATTTTTGGGGCTGGCTGGCTGTTGCTTTCCGATTTCCTCTGCACAATTGGCCGATGCAAACTCGTTTCAATTGATTACTGGACTCTTTCTATTTGACTATTTTCGTGTGACTCGATTTAAAACACGAATACAATCCAGACGGTAATTTTCTTGTCTCCGTTTTTCCTTTTTTTGGATTTTGGTTTTTTATTTGCGTAATTTTTGCAAACCGGCTTCACTTTTATTTCTTCACGAGCGCTTTTTACAGTTGCTTTTTTGTTGGCTTTTCGGTTTTCTCGGTTAACTGCATTTGTTGCTGCAATTGCTGCACACACGGACACTGGGATGCACACAATCTTAGCCAACTAATTGCCAAACTTATCCGCAGAAAATGGACTAACGACTTATTTGAGCTGACGGCCCGCTGCTTGCAAATCTTGAAATGAGCGCTGCATAAATCGCACGTTTATTTATAGTTTTCAAGCTGCCCGATTTTTGTGCTCGTTCAAAAGTTTTTCCAAGCCGCTGCCGAAGCCAAAACAAACAGCAACAACATATAGTTGTAGGCCCCAACAAAATCGGTCGTTTTGAAGGCTTTAGGCCGCCTCTGCCGAAGCCAAAAGCCGAACTCAAAAGCTCATCTCGCCCAAAAAAAAGCTTATTAAAAAGAACTGCAGTTTGAGAGTCACAAGTTACATGTTTTTATAGACTCTATATTGGAAAAAATAGTTACATTTATTTTAAAATCTTAAAATGTTTCGTTTAAGTATGTTATTTTTTGATTTGGAAAAATATATTAAAGAATTTATGCATCCATCCATCTCTTGATTATTCCCACATATCTGTCAAATACAGCCAACAATGAGGAAACTGGCAAGACGTTTTCCCATTCCAGAGCCTCCAATCCCTGTTTTCAGTCAAAGTGCAAGGCACGTATTAAGTTTGAGTCGCAGTTTGGCAGTGAAGCCCTCCGAGGTGTTCATGTAAAATGTGGGTCAGTTGTAAATCTTTGCAGCTTTATGCCACATAAAATTATTCATGAACCTGCGACTTTGTGGGTGCACAAATCGATGTTCAAGGTAGTCTAGTACGTGACATCTTCGAAAATGTAGCTGAGCAAGTACGAGGCTTCCGAGAAGTAGCTTAAAATCAGAACTCTGCAATGATGAACTTTGCTACGGAAGCAATAGTCACAGTTTCGCACAAATTCTATTCGAATTGTATACAATTAAAAGATTAGAATACCCACTTAATATGATGGGCCTGTCTTTCGACGGACGACAGTCGCGTGTTTATTTTTTCTATACATTTCGTATCGCTTCTGTTTTGCATGCATATCACGAAACAATCCAGTCACCATAGACACTAAGAATATATAATTGACTGCAATATAATAAGCTGATTTATGGCACATTTAGCGCCGTCTAGGGTACAAACTTGAGCCGAGTAAAATTTCATAATTTTTTGGTAACCTTAGTAGATAGTCCATTATACCAGGTATTGTACTTTCAGAAAAAAATCTGAAAGTGTTGGGAATCGTAACGCTGTTTGTTAACCAAATCAACCCCTAAAGTATTTTTATAGAATTTAATTTTATCTGAAGCGCCTACCTGAAACGGGACTGCCTGTAGTATATGAACCCGAACCCCCTAAAATAGGCCATAGAAAGTGTGATAACTTTCTACTTTCACATTTATAATTCCCATCTGGTTCAAGCGGTTTGCTTATGGAGACCCTGTTCGTTTTCCGTTTCAAGTTATCGCTTCTCGGCCTTATGGCTAAGATCAAAGTGTAGTATCTGTTCTTATCAGCTTAACATCTGATAGTTCCTCCATTGGAGGACAACAAATGTTAAACTGATTTTTGGAATCAGACGGAGTGCTAGGAGCTTGCTCCACCTCTGTCGCGGGTTGGCCCGGTATTGCAGTACCGCCGGGATTTCGGCCCAACTGAAATATAAATTTGAAATTTCCCACTAAATTCAAGTTCAGTGATAGATAGTAGATAGCCAGTCACGCTTGGGTCTTGCTCAATGGCGCCGCAGTTGCTAATCCACAATTGGAGCCAAGGTCAAAGGTCGGGGAGCGCACTTAGCCTATTAACGCAAGTATCATTGGGTCACACAGCGGTAAAAAAAAACTAGGGCATGGAAAATTCAATAAAACCGGCCTTAATTATTGTAGCTCAAAATGAGGAATTCGAACTGGCGCCTAGAATAAATGTTTTTTAATTTAAACAATATTACCATTTAATAGCACCTAATGGAACCATTTAATTTCTATTCAACAACAATCATCACAACTTTAGTCCGACAGCTAATTGAGCTACTCCTTGAGAAACTGGTCGATGGGAACCAGTTCGAATGCCTCGTTGAACATTCGCAACATAAGGGGTTGCCAAAACTGTCGGGTCTCAGGCAGCATTATTCCGTAGATATCGCGCCAATACTGATTAGCCACATTCAGAGCTACTTTATCTGTAACGAAAAATAATCACGAGCTTTAAGCGTTGAGTGCACAGAAAACAGTGTGTAGAGCATTTCAACTGGTTTGCCTTTTGTTTAATAGGTTTGACTCAACATCAATTTTCTCTACTGCACACTGTAGGTATATGAGTGTGTATATCTACGAAAATGAAGTTTACTTATATGAAAATTATACATAAAGTTTAATTATTGCATTGTAAATCTTCTAATATATATTCTAGTTAAATAAACGGCAATTGTATTACTGCGGAATCAAGTGATACTTGTACTGACGTAAAACGTATAACTAGTGGAAAGTGCTTACGTATTTCAAGTAATTAAATATTTATGTAAACTCGACAAACAATAAGGAAATCGATTTTTGTACTATTCAAGATGTTCTATAACCCATGTATAACCACCGTATTTGGTTAAATATTTAACAATTGCAACAAATTCACTGGTTTGCCTTAAACAGAAACTTTGAACTCACCCAGTTCTGGATCTGCAAATATTCCGTTTGCCTTGATGATCAAATCCTTGATCTTTGGCTTCGATTCGAGGTGCTTTAGGCGGAAAAACCGATGACCATCCTTCTCGTAGATCTCACCATCGGTCAACGTTGTGGCCTCCACATCCACTGCAACCGGAATGATAAGTGATCACCGGAAGAGGCGAACTCATTTACTTACTAAGCGTTACGTTGAATTCGCCCTTGGGCTTCAATTGCAGCTGATTCACCTGCATGTCGGCCTTATAGCTGCCCACTATGTTCAACTTGGGCATTTGGGTGACCAGACGGAATTTCACCTTGTCGCCATTGACTTTGACGGACACCTCTTTGGCCCGGTTGGCGGAGAAGCCGTAGATCTTGGCATTGCGAACGGTAATCCGACCATTAACCGTGCCACTGGTGTATTGGAAGCTGGTTCGGTTGAGGTGCAAAGGTTCGTACGGCTCGATTCTGAGCTCTGGGTTGCCATCTTTGAGGCGCGGAGTCAATGTGTTAAATATCTGCTTGACGCACTCCCCCAGCTGATCCTCTTCAGTCGAGCATTTTGGCAAGTCTTCAAGGCGAAATGTTTTATAAAATACTACATACTCGTCATAATGATGTATGATACCTACCTGCAAAGTAGTTTTTGTCCGTGGGAGCTGCACTCGCTCCGAACGCCAGCAGGCTGAGCAATCCAATAATATAATACATTCTACTACTTAACTATATCCTTTTTGGGATTCGAACTCGACTTTCAACCTACTGCTAGAACGTTAAACTACAACTGAAGCTCTCAGACTGCAAGTCGGGCTATTTTATTCTCCAAATTAGCACACTACGACACAATGCAAGTTAGAATCTAGCTTAGTATATTTCACTTGTAAATCAGAAACATTAGCCGGCAAACAGCTAGACTTTGACTGAATGCCGAACCGGCTCTGTCTGCCTGATTTATAATGTCGTATTATTAAATGGAAAAATTTATTGAAGGTACTACAGTAAATGGCAACGGCTCAACGGCTATTTGCCATAAATACTTAAATTCTTATACTAATTACCCAGTACGTATAATAATGATGGGCTGCCGATTTTGGCTATTCAATGGTGACATTGAGGGGCTGCCAAATTGAGCTTAAAGACGTTTCGTCATTAAGTGAGTCACATTTGAAGTTAGTTGTACGAACTTCACCATATATTATAGCTAGAAAGTAAAATAAGATCTATTATACTTGGAGAATCTTTTAGCCTAATTCAGTTCTGAACGCCTTTGAATGCTCTGTGCAAAGTTAAACAATTAAGTCAATACAATCGGTTTATATAAAACCACTGTGTTATAGCTTATAGAATAATTAGTGGTTACGATTATAGTTTTCCATTCATTGGGAGCATTAGTTAGATTTATAGCTACCAATAAACTAATAAAACAATATAATTTATTGCATTTAATTGATCGAATAAATTGACTCATGACGCATGCGTCGCGACCTTTCACTCTAAGCATATAAATATGTGTCTAAAAACGTTACACATTCCAAATAACCTGCAAACATAAAAATAAATAAGTAACTTATTTAAATATTTGGTCGGTTATCGACTAGAAAAATGTATCTGTAGCAGAATACTTAGGTAATTGTATCTTTATTTCGGTACAAACTGTGTTAGCACCTTGAGTAGAACAGATGAATCCGGAGGGTATAAATAGTAAAACAATATTAAAGTTAGGTATCTCAATTCTTGGTAACAAGCATATCAAATGGTAGCGCAGCAAAGAAGTCATTGGTGGACTTCAAGATCAGGGGCTGCCAGGTGGCCAATGTCTCGGGTAGCATGGCCTGATAAAGCTGGCGCCAGTACTGATTGATGAAGTCCAAGATGACATCGTCTAGACGAAAATAAAGCAGTTAGTAGTACTATATAGTACAACAAATCTGATTGGCTACTACTTACTCAGCACCGGATCGGGAACAAGTCCATTGGCGTAGAACTTCAGGTCACCCACCTTGGGCTCAGTCTCCAGTTTGGTCAGGCGCAGATATGTGTGACCATCACGCTCGTAGAGCTCGCCAATGGGTCTCGCCCTCATCGCCACATCAGCTGCAGAAGAAATAACCAAGCAAAAGCATTTAATAACATAAACAACTCATTGGACACACAATGTGTCCAGCCAATCTTTATGACTTCATTGTTTACCAGGCACCAGTTTGGTGCAGTTACAGGCGTTGTTCTGAGTCACTTACTCATGGTAATGTTGAAGGCGCCCTTCGGGTTCAGCTTGAGGTCGTTGAGCTTGATGTCCGCCTTGTAGAAGCCCTCGACGAACATTTGGGGCACATGCGAAAGGATCTCCATGCGCACGCGACCATCCTTCAGCCGAAAGTTGACCTTGTCCACGATGCCCTCGCTGAGGCCGTGGACCACGACGTTCTTCATGGAGATCCGTCCCTGGAGCAGGCCGGAGGTGTAGCTGTAGGAGCTCTTTCCCATCTCGAAGGGATCGAGGGGCGGGATGTTCAGCTCGCTGATGCCGTACTTCATGCGTGGCGTTATCTGCTGGAGACCCTGCTTTATGCACTCGCTGATGTTGATATCACCTTCCCGGCAGGTCGGAATATCCCCGGCTGCCGAATGCCAAGCAAGCAAACAAAAAATTAAATTGGTGAGCATGGACCTTGACATATTTAGTTTAGCATAAAACACGTTAGCCATATCGCGTTCGATCGATGTGCCTATGATCAGAACGTGACATTTTCTAGCCGAGAATTTTTAGTTGGAGTTCGCTTAAACGTTTCGCTGCTCACATAATTGTCAACGTCATGCGCAATTAATTTGTTGATTAGATTTTATTTTGTCAGTGAGTTGAGTGAAAATGCCTGCATATAATTAAAGAGTTTTGTTCTGTCTGTTGTCTCAAGTTCGCCTCTACCTTGGGAGAAGTCTACTTTACCGGCGGAAGTGGCAAGTCCGGACAAAAGACTTAAGCGGCAAACTTGTCATATATTTTTAACTTCTCCCATAAAAAAGCTAAATATAGCAACAATATATCTACAACAGCAAGTGACGCGGTCGGCAATATCGTATAAAAATCACATGTACACTTGTGGCTTGGGGTAATTCAAATGGCTATGTGTTTATTTTTGGCCAAAACTGTTTGAAGACTATTCCTATCAGCATGACAATGAACATTTTATGTTTGTCATGGTCTGTCTGCTCTGAAATCAGTATGCCAAAAAAAACATATTTAGATACTCATAAAAAGTGTCTTGAGAATTAAAACTCAAATCAAGGGCAATTTCTGCACACCACGTGTTACTTTCACATAATTTATATATCTTTAAGTGTGTTTCTGAGCAAATTCTTTTCTATATGATATTCTGTTTATTATTCTGTTGGGGAGAATACATTTCAATCTTATCAATCTCATTTACATATTCGTCTTACGAATCAGGCTTTATGAACAATAAAAAATCCTTAAAAAGGTCCGCCAAGATATTAAATATCTTATTATCATATAGTCAGAATAAGAGGATTTTTTAAGGCAATGCAAAATATAGCAATGTATCTAACGTTGTGCAATGCTATTGTTCTAAGGAAATCTGCGTTTAAACTTTGACTGTCAGATGGTTGAAATGCTTTGTTATAAAATTCACACAAAGTTGCGTGCTTCACATGATTATTGCTATCACGAAGTCAATTTTGTATGTTTCGAATTTTCTATTTAACTGATAATCACAAATTAAACGACTGCAATGCAAAACTCCAGTAAAGTGTCGATTTAACAATTTGAAATAATTTTTAGAAAATAACTGGATGTTCAATTTTTTTTAATACAAATGAGCGAAACCAACTTCTTCCATTTTTTGCCGTGCCTTAATTTAATGTGATTCTAAAACAAGGTTCTGAAATAAGTGCATGTTGTTTCTATTTTACATTAACACTTATATTGCCTAAATGCACAAAGCTTTCACTTTCCAATAAATTATTTTGCTTATCCTTATTTCTTAATTTTATTATCGAGTTCGATTTTTCACGTATAATAACACTCACGTATTTCTCGGACCGGCTTGAACTCTACGGGCGGCAATTCTATTTCCGCAGCCAAACATGAGCCCGCCATCAGAATTAGAGCAACAGCGCCAAGGATACGTCCCATTTGGATAGTTTGTTGAATACTTAATTCGATAAGTTAGATTAGGTGCTGGTTCAATAGACTTTTTCGTTCGGTGAAGTTATTCAACACCCGATAGAGGACCCAACCTGACCGATGCAAATGCGAATCAACGTCTGAGAGCTGCGATGGGTGGCGGGCTCTTATTTATGGGAAGAAAACAAAACAAATCCAATCAAATCGAAATTGCAAAGGCAAACGCAAAATAAAAAAGAGTCACAAACACAGATGCTCGGCATTAGCAAATGATAGGGAATTGGGGGCGGAGCGGTGGGCGGTGGGCGGTGGGTGGATAACAAAAATAGCTTGGAACTAATCGCCGTCGCAGTTGTAGAAAACAAAGCAAATGCAAAAGTCAATATACAGTAGACCGTAGGCAGTAGACAGTAGTGAAATACAAACGACATTATTAAATTCCCCGGTAAAGTCGTGAAGTGGAAGCCACCCAGCCATCCGATTTGACTTATCGCGACCCCACTGCGACCCGACTTACCCATCACATAACCGCCTACCAACTACCGGCAGCTGTCCCCAGCGATCCGACTCGCTGTGGATGCTTCCTCGACTTGGTGATGGAGATGGCTGACGGTTGTGGAGATCTTGGTCCCAGGCGGCTTATTAAAACGTACCACCTAATTATCTGTCTCGGGCGCTTGGGTTTGTTGCCATATCGGGCGATATTATAGATAATTAAGATTTTACAAAATGAAAAGCTTGCAAATCCCTTCAAAGATCACTGTATCAATTTATACGAGTACTTAGGCATTCGTTAAACATTCCTAAACATTTTAAAATACTACCGCCACTTTGCAATCGAATACCTATTTAATTTACTCACATTTCGTGCCTAGTGAAATATACACTTACATAAAAATGAAAAAGAAGAGCCTTTTACTGCCCATTTCCCACACACTCGTCTTTAAAAAGTAATGCAAGTATAAATCAAACAATAGATGTCAAGCGTGGCCGTGTTAACAGCTATAATGCTAATTCTGCTTTTTGCACCTTCAATATTTTTAGTGCTTAATCAGTAAATACTTGGTCACGTGTGTCTAGTAGCAAGCCATAGTCGATTTAGTCAAAGTTTAAATGGCTGCAAATGAGTCAGTCTTTATACTAATTCGGAAAACCTCAGCTTGCAATTGACAATCAACAAGTAGAATCAATTCGCATAGAAAGCCTCTAAGAGCGTTTTAAGATTTATCAAGTGACCTGGCACAAAAGAGATAAACGCAACTTATCAGCAGACGTAGACTGTCTACCGGAATGTGCCCTTTTGCAACCCCAAATAGACGTCATCTTATCGTCATCTGCGGCATTAAAGTGCAAGCCCAGAAATGGCACTCCGAGTTCCGAGAACCGATATCTAAAAAAAAGAAACAACTGTGGAACAAAAGATCAGTGCCACACAAGCCTTATCAACAGCACCAAAGGCACCAAAGGAGTTGGACAAATGAGGCCGCAAAACACTTTTCGAATAGAGCCCAATTGAACAAGAGCAGCCCAAAACCCACATATGACTTTTACAAAAGGCGGCGACATTGAAAAACACAGCAGATAATAGATTTCAAAGAGGAACAAACACGAATTGAATGAACCAGACAATCGATGGGCGCGCATTTCGCCACCTACTGATCCGGAAAACTCGCATTGTATTGTATCTGAAATTCTAAAGATGCCAGATCCCAGAACGCACGCAAGAATAAACATGACCAGCAGATAGGGATGCCCAACGGGTGGGCTTACGAGTAGGTAAGTGGGATGGGATGGGATGGGTTTGGGATAGGAATTGGGTGGCATGTACGCGTGCGCAGGCAAATCAAGCGGTTTTATGATCTTGTTTTCGTTTTGCAAAAAGAAAATTCGGCGTCGATTTGTGTAAACAAAGTTATAAAACTTGGGGGGATTACGAAGAGTGGCAGATAAGGCTTTCGCCATATAAGCTAATGTGCCAGGCCACAGGACAGCAGTCAATCGAGAGACTTCGAGAAGAGCACACATACCATACCATACCATACCACACCATACCATACCACAACATACCATAGAATGGAGCACCATCAGATGTATCGGCACAAAAAGTTCGACGTGGCTCGAAAGATTAGGAATTGCGGCCTACTCGTCAAGGAGGAGCTAATCTCCCGGAGCGGCACACCCTGCACCAGTCGCAGTCCATTTGACGAGGCAAATCAGTCCATCAGTGTGGTATTCAGTGACGAGGATGCTGACTTCCCGCCACTGCCAAAGCGCCGTCGCTTGGAGTCCTCATCCTCAAGCGTTTCCTACCACTCAGCAAGTCAAATTACGAGCATACCCGAGGCCATCCAAGACATCTTCAAGTACCACGTCAACATGGTGCGGAAATTTCCCAAGAAGGAGCGATCGCCGAAGGACCAGGAGCGCCGCAACAAGAACACCATTGCCTGCAGGATGAGTCGGCGGAAAAAGAAGTTCGATGACCTGCAGATCGAGCAACAGTACAAGGAGTGCTCCACTGAGCACCTCAAGATCGCCGAGCAGAGTCTGCGCGCCAGGGTCTATCTGAATCACCTGAAGCAGCTGGTCAAGCAGGAAGACCACCCGCTGGTCTCCTCCAGGAGAGTTCCGGAGGAGAATGGCAAGAGGAACTTTAGCATCGACTACCTGATCGGTGGCATTAAGCAGGAGAATGCCTAGACACGCCTACCTCCTTTGAGGATTGTATTATATAGTTAAGTACTGCTGTTAAGTTGTTAAGTTTCTTCAAGAACATTTAATGCTAGGAAATGTAACATATAGCATAAGGCCTTTAAGGGTTAAGCAGGAACTTCTTAATAAATAAAATTGGCAAATTTTAATCGGTTTTTTATCCTGGGCAAGTCAAACACCCTTTATCACATTGTTTTTTAAATACTTGTGTGTAACGACCACTATTTGTGCTCATTCTCCTCACGCGTGTCATTCTTTTTTGCATGATTTCAATCTTCCTTAAAATAATCGTATAAATATTGTTTTAATTTACCTCAGACTGTGATTAGCCAGACTAATTAACCACGTCTACCAGCGGCACAGATCTTGTGCTCATCCAACAAAGCAAAAAAGAATCGAACGCATTCTGCTAAAATCAAGAAAATATTAGCATCAAAATTATTTCCATTTCCAAATTTCAGAAAAATAAATTCATTAATGAATGCGATTTTCTAACAAACCTTTTAAATTTCCGATTACAAACCATTAAAAACCATTCGAGGCGTTATTCGGAAAAGATCGGCAGTCTTGGGATGCTTCCTCATCCGCCGTGAAGTCATCGGAACTGGCCAACAAAACCTTAAAAGCCTGTTCGCAAGATGTCATGGGCAATCGTCCGTCCCTCGGGCCAATCGTTATTGGTGACCCCATCGGCAATTACCCCCTGGAGCAGTGTGGGATATCGGCGGGCTGGCCAGCCAGTCGGCTAAAGTTCACTGGGTATTAGCCCTGCACCCTGGTCAAGCCACTGGCAGCACAGCAGCAAAGCGATCGAAGCCGCAGCTACGGAAATGTGGGCTTAAAAGTTAACTACTCCCATTCCCGTCCATCACTCAGCTGTCATGGTGGCACTTAAAGTTTAACTAAACACTTTAGCTAGTCGCAGCTACGACATTTTCCAATCCACAGTAATCGAATTGGTCACGCTAAAGGCTTTCACTTGCATAACCCCTAACCTCTGTGGAAAATTTTAATCTATTGATAGAATTGGCAAGTGCTACAGTGTTCCTACGAGTATTACTTCAATCCGATTAGGTCATTTAAAGCTACAGGCAACATCAGATGGATATCAGTTGTACATAAATGTCTTCCTAAAAGACGAAGCAGCAACAAAGTAGAACATTATATAAACTTTAATAACATTTTTAACGAAACAATAATTTTGGTATGCTCTGTGAGAGTGAGTGCTCCAATTAGCGTGCATCATTGCCACCTGTGGACGCATTGGTGTTCAGGTCAGCTGCATCACTGGGCGGCATTCCGCTGCCAGTCGGTCCGTGGTCCATCATGTCATCATCGCTCATTCCCTCCTCGGATAGAGCATCCTGCTCCGCCTCCAAAGGTGGCTCCAGAGCCTTGACCATGTTCAGATAGGTCTGGTTCTCGGCATCCGTGAACATTTTGAAGGGCAAATCCTTGCCCACAATGGCCACGTTTATGGTGAGGTTTTCGGTATCATCGTGCCCGAGCGATCCCCGAATGGCCTGAATGGCATGACATATCAGTTCATCCCTGTCGCAGTCCTCGAAACTCTCCATATTCCGCTCCAAATAGGTGCGTGCACTCTGCGAACGGGATCCAATGGCCATTGCCCTGCAGTTGAGCACATTGGCTGTGGGCATCACCTGGTAGATGTGCGCTCCCTGCTCATCGTAGCCAGCCACCAGCATGCCCACGCCATAGGGTCGACGATCATACCGCTGGGTGGTGGCCTGCAGCTTGTTACCCAGATTGGCCACCAAACGGCGGACCGGAAACTCCGCGTCGTACGAGTGCCGGTATGCCATGCACTCCGTCCTCAGGTACTGGCACACCACGCGGGCATCTGCTGTGAGTCCTGCTATGGACATGCCCACGTGCCCGTCCACCGGCATGATCTTCCGCTGGAGCGTGTTGGTGTCCTTCGAGGTGCGGCACAGGGCGGCCAGCACGGCGTAGTTGTTGCTCTTGAGTCCCACGGTAGCTGCTCCCTGTTTCACGGCCTCCATGGCGTACTCCACCTGGAAGAGACGGCCCTGCGGACTCCATGTTGTCGTGTCGCTGTCGTACTGATTCCGGAACATGGCTAAGTATGTGACTAAATTCTTCGAGTTACTTAAGTACAGTTAGGGGGGAATTTATCTAGCTTGAGTGAAAAGTATGCGGAAAACTGATCTAATTTCTAAACAGTCTAAAATTTCCTTTCATTTTAGTATGGCGATGTTATCATTTACTATTAACCTTTTATTATACTATTGACTATTCATTTTATAGAATGAGGTCGCACAGAAAGGGCAACCAAATAAAAGGGTAATTGCAAGCCCGACATGCTTTCACTCTACCTAACTTGCATAATGCCTAACCAAGTAGAAAATCAACGGTCTATGAGGAAGTTCGGGTGATCAGATGGAGAAAACAAAAAGGCTGATGCTCGGGGTGCATTGAGTGCACCCGCCTGGAAAGCAGCCAACTGCATCGGGCTGAGTGAAAAGTAGGAGCTTTGATTAATTCGGGTATTCATGCTGCCGGGGAAGTGCCCTGCACATAATTAACTCTTTGGCGCTTGCGCAATCGCTGCCAGCGCAGTTAATTACTTTTAATTTTCATTGATAGTACTTGGCGGCGAGTGTGGTGGTTCGACTTCCTATGGCGCAAAGCCAAGTGCTGAACAAATTTCCGTCGCGGCTCCAACAACCCAGTAAACCACTTTGCACTTGTACCATGCAGCCAAACATCAATTTCAGTTAATTGTCGAGTTTTTTGTGGCTGCTTTTTGCTTTTTGCTTTTGCCTTTTCCAGCTGGCCTAACATTGAAAATTGCATTTCTGCGCTTGGAGCTGTGAGCTTGCAAAACTCCGTCTCACTGGCCAATTGAACTTGAAGCTTTGCTTGGACTTTGGCTATATCTCCGTATTCCCACATCCGATCTCTGTCAATATTAAACAAGCCAAAAGCTTGGCCCATTCGAAAATGTGGTTCTTTGTGGCGGGCCTGAACCTTGACGAAAGCCGCCTCGAAATGAGAACGCCATGAAAATTAGCTAGACAACAATTAGTTGAACTCAGCTGGGTAATGGCTCTGGGTAAATGGTTTCTCGGAAAAATCTGTCAATGCTTCGGTGAGTCACTTACTCAGTGGTCAGCCAAGCCAAAACTGTAGTTTTAATGATCTAATGTCATAAACTTAATTTCAATTAAAATATAACCCGAATTTAGGGACATGATCTGGAAATAGTAATGGTCGAGCTGCTTTTGGTTTCTGGAGCAATTATCTAAAAATCTGCATTCAAATTTAAAAAACTTTTTTAATTTAATTTTGTTGTATTTTTCTGATGTAGAAATTCAAAAAAATAAAACATGTCCCCAGGCTGAAGTCTTGTACTCCACAGCTCAACTTATCTTAATCCGATTTTTATGTGGCATTATTAAAGCTGATATTGCTGATCTTACTCAAATCTTAAGGAACAAAGATATAGCAAGCTGCGAATTCCGAATTTTCCAAGTGATTGCAGAAAGTTTTTCCAAAAAACCGGGAATTTAAGTTAAATGTATAATTTTTGCTTAATTCAAGGTCAACAATAAATAATAATAATTGGGGCTTAATAAACTAAATCACATGATTGGCTATCCATAGTCGCTGATTATGATGCTGGGAAGGTCAGCAGTGCTGGCCCCCAAAGATGAGCATCTGCTGGGAGAGGGCCATCTGCTGGAGGAACTGCTGTTGCTGCTGGGGCAGGATGTGACCCGGCGCGGGATTGATGGCGCGCTGGAACACCGCCTGCTGGAGGAGGTGGCGGTAGTAGAGGCTCAGGCGCACCTGCTGCTCCAGCATGGCGGCATGGTGGCTACGGTACTGCTCGTACTGCTGACCCACTTGCTCCTCCTGGGCCTGCTTGGCCCGCCGGCTGAGGAGGCAGGCCAGGGTGTTGCGATCCCGACGCATCTGCTCCTTGGGGCTTCGCTGGCGATGGGTCTGGCTACGGCGCACCATGTTGGCGCGGTACTGGCTGACCGAGGAGCCGGGGCCACTGGGCTTGGCCACTGGTGACGTCTCCTTCTCCCTCTGTTGGTTTTGCTCGTTATCCAACCACGGTCGGAAGAATCCCTGTGTCTGGCGGCGTTTGAAGATCGGCTGCTCCGACTGCTGAGTTAGGTTCTCCTTGTCCTGGTCCACGTCCCGTTTCCGCTTGCTGACGGCGAACTTCTTGTGGGTGTAGCTAGCTGAGTTCTCCATTTGTATGAATTTGGCTGATACGACTCTTATAGAGATGTGGTGATGATGTGACTCGTTGGACGATCGCTTGCTGAATGATTGGCTTCGAGTTTGATATCCTGGTTATATGCACAGTAGGTAGGCGGCACAGGTAGCCATATAGGGAAATCCATTTGTTTTGGGTCTGTCAACAAAGGGATTAGCGCATCCATTCGCATTAGGTAATCTTCGTCCTGGATTAAGCTGCATATTTTATGGCCTGCTCTATCACAGCGCTAATTGCCGTCGCAGGATTGCGTCGTTATCCTTTTTTGTGGATTACCTGGATTATCGGACGTATGTGGCCACCGGAACAGGAAAGTTCTGGACCGAACAACTGTTATGCAGACAATATATTTTTTATTGACCTGCATGAACAATTTGTTGTGCCGGCGTGTGTGGTCCCTTTGGCTCCTGGTTCATCAGCACACTTTGTTTTAATTCCCTGGAAATTCTCGAGGGTCCTTTTCCAAACACTTTTCCTGTAGAATGACAGTGCATTGAATTACCTGGTCGTCGGTTGGAAGAATACGTCATGGATTTTTTGAGTCAGCTGGCCCATGCGATTTAAGTTTATGGAACAGGAATTACATAATGAAAGTCCTGACAGGTAAATGCCTCTATTTTACACGTATTAATTATATTTGAACAACAATCGTATTAATTAATTAAAATACTATTTTAGAAATGTTAAAAAATTTAAATAGTAGTAATAGACTTTTTCCCGTACTGTTTAAGTAGCATTTTTTTGTATTGCTGAGAATGTAAATATGATGATTTCATTTTATTTAAATATAAAGGCGGATCTTACTGTCACCAACTTTTAATTATTTTCCAAGCACTTAGTTCGTTCGCTATGCGGATTTGTTTATAAATTAAATAATTAAATCCACCTGAAATAAATTGTAATTTTATTCCGCGTCTCCCACAATATGTCACTCGTGCCATCGCGATTCAATCCTCACTTTAGTCTGGGTATGAATCTCTAGAATTACTTCACACCTAAATTAGCATTGCAAATTAGAGTTCCACGAAATAAATTACATAAAATGCATTTGATGTAAGGTAATGGCAGAAAAACCTCGTGAGGTAACTCTTATATCTGATGCTTCCGGTACATTTTGGTCTAGAATAAATCCTCACGATGTTAAACGGCGGAAAATAGAAATCAGACTTCCACTTAAGATTCAATGCATACAACCCATTGTTTTCAAATCAATCGTTCGATTATTTCAGCACATTAAACAAAGCGAATGATGCTACTTATGAAAGCCCAATTCCTTATATAAAGTTGTATCAAAACTTTTACTCTTAGTATCGCATCGAGAACATAAGCAACATTACTTTTGAAGTAATCTCCAAAATCTGGAGTAAAATGTATGTATAGAACAATTACAAGTTATTTCGATAACAATTTTTGTGTTTATTGTTTAGTCAAACAGATAAATAAATAGAACTTTAAAAGTAATCACAAGGCTATTCAGCATTTTTACAATAAGTTATAGCGCTTTGGGCAGGAGCAGCGCCAAGTCGAAGGTCCATGTCCACCCCTCAAGGATGCTGGGTGGTGGTCTGTTGGCGCGGCATCAAGTGCCTCGGCTGCGTGGGAGGCAGTGGCTCCGTGGAGGCCATCGCTTGCTGCAGGAAGCGCACGTAGTAGAGGCTCAGGCGGATCTGCTGCTGCAGATTGGCCTCGTGCTGGATGCGACTGGTCAGGTACTGCTGTTCGATGAGCTGCTGCTGTTGCTGCTGGGAGCGTCGGTGGCGCAGGCTAGCCAAGGTGTTGCGATCCCGGCGCAGTTGCTCCTGCGGACTGCGCTGGCGCCGCTTGTGGTGGTTGCGCACCATGTTGGCGTGGTAGGTGGCATCCACATTCGGTGGCGGAGGTGTCGATGCGGCCACCAGCTTGCGAGGTGGCTGTGGTTGCTCCTTTTCCGGGGACTCATCCATCCAGGGGCGGAAGAAGCGCCGCTTGGGCTGTGGCTGCTCTGGAGTGCGCTGGCCCGGCTGCTCCATGATGAAGACCACATCGTCATCGGAGTCCGCATCCACGCTGCGCTTTCGCTTCAGAGCTCCAGTGAACTTCTTGTGGTTATAGTTATCCATTTGAGATTGATATCAGGAGTGGTGTTCGCTTTGCTGTCTTTGAGACGACTGTGCTGCCCCTCCTCCAGTCCACCCATTTTATGCAACATTAGGTAATTGCAGAGCCTCCCACAAAACGGCCCAACCAAATGCCAAAGATTTTCCCATCACGTACCTGGGCATCGAACACGGATCAGGTATTTCCCCAACGCATTTCATTCATTCCCTAAAAATGGGACCAAAACTAATCGGTTGCTGTTACCTGAATTGGGAATAGGGAGTCCCTAATCCGCAGGCTGGCAATCTTCTCGAGGGTGTCATAAACCAGTTGTTGTCCTTGCCTCGTCTGTTTACATGGCCGACGATTTTCAACGGAATTACCTGTTGTCGGGCCGAAGAAGGGATCTCTGTGTAGGATCCTTGTAATCTCTAATCCTGGCGCTCAATTGGTCCAGGCTGTCTGCCGACCCGCTTTTGTTTCGGCCTTCTTTGTGGCACCTGAATAGCAGACATGCAGCAGTTTTCACTGCCCGATTTCGATCCGAAAAACAAGCATTTATGACTTTCAGCTTGGCCAGCTGAAAAACCGTCTCGGAGTTTCTGGATCTACGGGTACAAATCCTAGAAAACCGACAATTACTGAATGCTCCCTCGGCTCTGGTTTCGTGTCTTTGGCATTATGTCGGATTTTCCGTTTCATTCAATGGCCCTTTGTCCATTGATTTATGCAGTCAGGGAACGAATGCCTATATGGATGGTTCTCACATTTCACTGTTCCTCCGCCTAAGCGGATTTATTTCAGGTGGGCTTGAGACCAGCCCTCAAGGAATCCCAAAGTCAATAAGCAGTTGCGGAGTGGGAGTTGGTTATTTGTTCAGTTGAAGTATTACAGTGAAAGATTGTCGTATTGTTTGATTGTTTCCCTTTTATTATATTGATCAATTTTCATCTGTTCTGGAACGAAGAGAATCGATTGCATGGGGTCCTCGAAGGTGTTGTTCATCCTTCCAAGGGGAATGACCTTAGAAAGAGCAATAATATCCTACCAGGAAGTGCTTTCACCAATGATACAATTAAATGTTACCTTATATAATGTTGAATTAACAGGATGGTGGATGGGAAAATTTATTCCCATATATCTTTCTAAGGCGTAGATCTGTTCGGCGATGGGAACTACCAGAATACAAAATGCTTAACTTTGTACGATAGCAACAATTAGATATCCTGTGAAGCATTCTTAAATGGTTTCGGAGAATATTTACACCTCAAATTACTTCTTAGAATTTACATACTACATACTTTACATGATATGTATTTACATAAAGTTAAAACATGGGTTACTATTCAATTTAAGAAAGTTCGAACTATGTTAAATCATTTTTCCTCAAAGTTCGCAACACAAAATCAATAATCTTCTAATAATTTCAGGAACATCCAATTTATACAGCTGCATATGTATATCAATAAATTTAAATCTTTTTAATTATATTTGGCTAAGATTGGTTGAAACCTTTGAATTAATTTTTATCAGTTCAATAATTTAGCAATATTTTTTGTATTACCAAATTTTCTCATTTTCAAACCTTGAAGAAGCGTAAATTTTTAATAATAATTATAAAATGTTTCATAAGCAGAATTTAATCCATTAAACCTTATCTGTTATATGAAAATAGGAGCAATAAAAACAAAGTATGATCAAAATCTGTTGTATATCCATAAAATAAGACACAGCGTTTATGCTAAAAGAGTATAGACAGAACTGATATGCGCAACACTATATCGCCGTGAATGATCTCTAAATCAATAAATGGTATGCAACGTCTTAAGTCTGGAAAACACTCTAAAATGAATCTAAGAATCCGCACGAAATTCCTTGAAGAGACTAGGACGGACGCGCATCCATCGATTCGGGAAAATCCCAATAAATTTCCATTCAATAACCATTGTGACTAAGCGCGGCTGGCATTTTCTCGAAGGTAAGGTAAAGGCATCCCCGGATACCCTGGACGAGAACTTAATGAGGCAGATTAGCGGTAAGCGAGATAAGAATCCAGATTCCGAAGCGTCCAGCCAACTTGGTCAGCATCAAAGAGTGTCAAGCGCAGGCGCTGGCCAGATTCTGAGGTGGAAAACGGTTCTCGAGAAAGCATCCAGGGAAATTTCCAAGAAAAACCGGACGGACTAGGCAAACACAATAGAAGGTGCGAGCAGCGCGCTGCAGCAAATGAAAAATTAATTACAAAGGACTTTCGGATGAGCAGGTAGTCCACAATGGCTACAGGTAGTATGGGTGTTGCCGAAATCCTTTTCTTCTCCTTACGACAATGCCAACCTTTTGTCAACGAAGATTTTCCCATAAACAGGGCGCATGTTCGCTCTTAATGATAGTATTCTCAGGTAGGACTCCTGATCCCGGGAGTATAAATACCTGGTTGCGCAGCAGCAGGAGCACAGTCGAGCCTTAACAGCCGTCGTGAAAACACCTCTATAACAGCACCACTAAAACCCAGATCTTAAAACACCAATCATGGCACCTTCGAACATGGATTACCACAACGAGTCGGAAGTCGGAGAGAACTATACCCACAAGAAGTTCAAAATCGTGGGATACACGCACAAAAAGTTTGGCAAAAAGAGCGCCAAGGATATTGCCCCCTCTGCCAGTGCCACGCCCCTTTTCCGGCCATACGCCCTCAGCGAAAATACACCACGAAAGCGTCGCCAGGAGACGGAGCGGGAGGTCCAGCAGCTGCAGCAAAAACCTGTGCACCATCACTCACTGCCCCCCACACCACCCACCACGCCACCCCAGCACCAGCAACATCCGCTTCCGGCCACCCACGTTTCGGTCACCCATTCGCCGGTCTTCAACCACCAGGCATACGCCTACATGCTACAAAAGCAGCGCGCCGTGCTCCAGATGCGCCAACTGCTCAACATCAATCCGGATGCCAACACCTGGCCACTGGAATGGCGCCAGGCCCTCCAGGCTCTGCTGCAGCAATGAGCTTGACACGCACGTAAAGACATTCAAAACGGAGTGATTTGCCTAGCAACCAGTGATATAGACCTTTAAGTGACCGAGGACAGATTGTACAATATGAACGGAAGCGAAATCCTAGAGTAATTGTAGATAACATTAATTTTAAACAGAATAAACACGTTTTCCATCACAAAGTTAATCAATTGGTTTTGTGTTCTGAAAGCAGGCGAATTCATGTTCGGCAATTCACATAAATTTACGCAGAAGTCTGTCATGAATTAGTTGTAATAAGGTAATCGAATCGAATGCTTACAGTTGATGAGCTCTCCTGATAGAATTTGAGTTCAGTACAAAATTCTGCCAGTTCTCACCCATTTCATAAAGCTTAAACCAGTTTCTTTTTGAATTCAAACATTTACTGGCAAAGTTAATTAGGGGCATTGAACTTAAAACAATTTATGAGGGTCACATTACTTATATTTTACATAGAGTTATTGAAGCCAAGGCGGTCAAAAACAGAGCCAGATTGATCTCGGTGCTTGTTATGACCAGCATTCATGCTGTTATGGCGCCTTGGCGGAACATATTTCTTCTTCTGCGGCTCTGGACGCTGCTGTCGATGTGGCGGAGCTGGTGGAGCTCTGAGGGGAGCGGAGGTCGAGTTATTTCCAAGCCTTTTGTGGACGGGCATCGTGTCCTGCCGGGTAAACAGCTCGTCGCTACGCATGCGTATGGTCTTGCCCTTAACAGGGCTGAGACGAGCCTGCGGTTTCTTTGCTGGCGAGGCCTTTAGGTTGTACGTCTTCTTGGTGGCATGAAGTTTGGATACTAAACAAAAAGCGGTAGATTAATTGACTGTGTCACAAAGTATCTGAAGCAAACATACCGATTCCGAGCCTGGATTTGATGTTATTTGCAAAATTTTTGCCGTGCCTATTTTTGTAGGCCGCTTCGGGAGCGATTTCCCGAACCTCCGCTGTGGAGGCGAACTTAACAATCTTTTCTCCGGCTCCCATATCGATGTCTTCCCCTTCACCGCTTGACATGTACTCCTCTTCGTCGCTGCCTAGATCGTCCATGCTATCGTCGTCATCGTCGCCTTTTTTAAGAGGCACTTTGTGAACCAGCATAACCTTTTGCTGCGGCACACCGGCCAGCTTCTTGGCCTTCACAATGGGCGAGTTCTTGGTAACCCCTCCTCCTCCACCGCCTCCTGCCGACCGGTGTGTGTTTTTTAGGATCGATTTAATTTCCCTGGTCGCAGTGAAATCCCCCGACAGAGCGCCCTGCTTGCCCCCGAGTCGAGCGAAGACCGAATTGTTGGTGGAGGTGGCCGCTGTTTTTGATACGCCGGTGATGTGCACACGGACGCTGCTCTCGCCGGAACTGGAGACTATGCCCTCCTGGGCCTCGTCGTCGGCATGAAGACGCGAAAATATATCCGACTTTTTGGAGCTGCTCACGCGATCTGAGTATACTAAAAGAAGAAATATTAAACACTTGAACTTGTTTGGAGATTTATAACCTTACGCTTCTCCCGCTTGGCCAATATCTGTTTGCTGCGCTCGGTGGTTCCCGTGGGCAGTGTCACCTTGTACTTGCCCTCGTGCTCCGGAAGCACCCGTCTTGCCGGTTTCGCAGGCGGAGAAACCTTTGCTTTGGGTGTAGCAACCGATGATTTGGGCTTTGGCGACACCGGACGGGCGGCTGGTTGAACCACCTCCGTGGTGAGGACCTGATCTCGGGCATTCTGTTCGCAGACGGTCTTTGAGTGCCGCAGGATGGCAATTATATCACCCATCAAGGTGATGCCCATTTCCCGGAGATACTCCTTGTTAAGATCCAACAGCATGTCGTCCTGGATGCGGTTCTCCACGAAGACGTGGGCGTATCCTGCGGCCGCGGGAGATGGGATGCCTGCCGCATTGAAGAATTTGACCCAGCGTGCTGGAAATGCCGGTTTAAAGTCGATTATTTTCAAAGTGTGTGATATTTTGGCTCGCTATTTTTGTTTTGCACCCGGAAGCGTCTGTTTAGTTTGTGCGGTTTTCGCGGTGTTGTAGACCCACCTGCGCTTGACTTGGACATTGTGCGTATTTATGGTGCTGGCAAGCACGGTTTCGTACACAATTCAGCTAATATTTATTATTTTATTCCCATAAATTCAGTTTTTTTGCACTCGCAGCTATTTATATATTTTAGGGTTGCCACTTTTTCTTACCAACTATCGGCATGATGTTATCGGATATCTATTTCAGCATATGTTAGTGTTGTTAAACGTCAAAAGTATGGGTACTGCATCGCAGTAGGGGTATTCCAAGCAGAATTAAAAAACAATTTAAGAAATTTGCTAATAAATTTATATATCGACACTTAGTGTAGTAAAGTTGAGAAATATTTGCTCGGATATGTATTTTTAAATATTTAGTATACAAAGTATATTTTTGACTGTTGGTATTTTAATTACTTCCACACTGCTGTTAAAATTGTAAACAAAGCGCGCCGCACGTGTGATATTTATTTTTACCCAAAATAATTGTACCTCTAAAGTTCCGAAATATGGCTGGTAAATACGAGCTGCTCAGTGAACAGGGTCTCCGTCTGGACGGACGACGTCCACATGAACTGCGCCGCATCAAGTGCAAACTGGGAGTCTTCGAGCAGCCGGATGGAAGTGCTTACATGGAGCAGGGAAACACCAAGGTTCTGGCTGCCGTCTATGGACCACACCAGGCCAAGAGCAAGCATACGGAGTCCATCATCAACTGCCAGTACAGTCAGGCCACCTTCTCCACAGCGGAGCGCAAGTATAGGCCGCGGGGCGATCGCAAATCTCTGGAGTTTAAGATGTACCTGCAACAGGCGCTAAGTGCCGCCATTAAGTCGGAGCTGTATCCCCGCTCCCAGATAGACATCTACGTGGAGGTGCTCCAGGCCGACGGAGCCAACTATGCGGTGGCACTTAATGCAGCCACACTGGCGCTAATTGATGCTGGAATCTGCCTGAACGAGTTCATTGTCGCCTGCACCGCCTCTCTGAGTAAATCAAACATCCCGCTCACAGACATCTCACACTTTGAGGAGGTATCCGGCGGTCCGAAACTGACCGTGGCTGCCTTGCCCACCGCCGAGAAGATCGCCTTTCTCGAGATGAGTGAACGTTTCCACATCGATCATTTGGAAACCGTCATCGAGACTGCTATGGCCGGTTGCCGCGAGATCCGGGACATTCTGGAGGCGGCTGTCAAGGAGCACCTTCTGCACATGGGTAGCGCCTCTGATTTTGCTAAAGTTTGCTGAAATAAAGTACTTATTTCTATTCCATCCAAACTTGCTGTTTTTACAATTGAAAGGCAACAATTACAATAAAATAGAACCAACAGTAAATCAAAAAGTGATGTTTTACTTTGTCTTCAGATGACTTTCCTTGCTCTTAGACAAAGTTATCTTTTTAACTGATTTTAGTTGCGAATTATTACACAATTATCTACTAAAACAGAGGCGTATAGATGTAGCAACAAACGAAAGTAGCTCTAGTTCTCCTTAATGGCTTCCTTTGGAGGCTCCCACGTATCCAGAAGTTCTTTTAGTCGTTCCTTACGGTGCTCCAGTTGCAACTTCTCTATCAGTCCACACAGTTGATCTCCACCCTTAAGGAAGCCATCGAGGTTGTGCATCGTACCGCCCTGAATTCGATGATCCGTGATGCGATCCTGGACGAAATTGTAGGTACGGATTTTCTCATTGCGGTTGAGACTCCCCTGTTGCGCCTTCTTGGTGGCCATCTTGCTAGCCTCGGCGCTCTCCAACTGCTGTTGCACAAGTCGCGACCGCAGACGCTTCATGGCCAGCTCCCGGTTCTTAAGCTGGGAACGTTCCGATTGCGCCTCCACCGCCAGACCCGTGGGCAGATGGACAATTCGCACTGCCGAGTCGGTAGTGTTCACATGCTGTCCACCAGCTCCACTCGCTCGCTTCGTCTCGATCTTCAGATCCTTTTCAGCGATGTGCACATGGATGTCGGCGGGCCGGGGAATCACGGTAATCGAGGCGGTGCTGGTGTGCATGCGTCCAGACTTTTCGGTGGCCGGCACCCGCTGCACCCGGTGAACTCCAGCCTCGTGGCGCAACCAACGGAAGGCATCCTCTCCGCTCACCATCAGACTGGCGTGCCGCAGACCACCGATGTCGGTGATCTCGCTGGCAAACTCTTCCCACTCCCATCCCATGTGCTCAAAAAAGCCGGTGTACATTTCGTACAGTTCTTGGGCGAATAGCATTGCCTCCTGACCACCGGCGCCGGCATTCAGCCCAAAGATCAGAGCCGGATACATTTCATCATCAGAGAGCGTGAGCAGTTCCTGCAGTAAGGCCTGATCCTGCTTGCCCAGTAGATCCACATAGACTTCGTTCTCCTCACGCATCAGCTCACGCATATCCTCGTCCTTCTCCGCTTCCATGTCCTTGGCGCTGGTGATCTGACGCTCCAGGACGCGTCGCTGCTCCAGGGCACTGACAACTCCCTCCAGCTGGGCAAGACGGGCGTAGGATTTGCTGTTTCCCGCGGCGTTGACACGCACGGCGTAGTATTCCTGGCGTAGGGACTCCAAATACGCCTGCAGCTTCTCGTTCTGAATGTTCAGCGGATCTGTGCTGGCCCAGCGGCGTGCCAGGTATCCCAGGCGAAGGTTTAGCACTTTTCGCGACATCATTTTGTCAGCTTTTCATTGAAAATGCATTGAAAATAAAATACAAATAATTAAATAACAACAAGAGGTGGACCAAAGATGATAGCAGCGATTAATATCGATAAGTGGTTGATATACCTATTAGTTAGAATATGATTATACAGTTTAACAGATATATTAAAAACATTTAAATTATTTACTTAATAAAGTAGTGTATTTATATATTCGGTTTTTCAAAAAACTGTTACTTCAACTTATCGATAGGCAAGCATGATTCAATTTCTATCAACATCGATAGTCCCAAAAACATCGATTTCAGTTCCAGCTACATACAAAAGTGCATTGAAAAGTTCAAGAAATATGCCAGTTTGTAAATATTAAAATCACTAGTTCGTCTTAATGGAGAATTAGCTGTCTTAGTAGCGGACTTCGGTTGTTTTTATTTGTGAAATGATAGCCTATCGTCTGCCTTCATTTGTATTGCGTGCTGGGTGTGTGTGTGTGTTCGCCTTCTGATTGGAGAAAAATGAACGGACTGCGACAGCAACAACAGCAGCAACAACAAAGGGTGAAGTGAGCGCAGAGTGCAACAATTAAGTTTAATTAAGCCAAACAATTGAATGCGAAGAGTCTGAGCTGTGCTGTCCCCCCCAAAAAGTGCATTTATTAAGGCGATATCCGATTCAAGATCGCCGGGAAGTAAAAACCCAACAGTCGACGAAATGCCACCGTTGAAAACATACCAGATACACGAATACAATGGCAATCCCAGTCCGAATGCGAATGCCAATCAGAACGCCAATCAGAATCCCACCGGCGGCAGCGATGGTGACTTCTTTGGCCAAAATCTGGGATCTGGATCGGGTCTGGGAGCCACAGCAGCCAGCAATCGCACAAACCTGCCCTCCTACTGCAACGCCCAGTATCCGTTTAAGGTGCTCTCCAATCTAAACCAACTGCGCGAGCAGTCGCGTTTCTGCGACGTGGAGATCGTCGCCGGAATGGCCACATTGAGTGCCCACCGGGCTGTTCTGAGTGCAGCCAGTGCCTACTTCGAGGCCATGTTTCGACCCGAACTCGGGTTAAATGAGGTCAAGCAAAAATCCGTGGTGCTGCACACAATCGACGGCGATATCCTGCACATCCTGCTTGACTTCATCTACACGGGTCGCTGCGAAATCACCCAGGTGAGCCCACATCCTTTGTCGCTGCTCTCTGGCCCCCAATGCCTAATCCCTTCTTTGTTCCTATAGTCCAATGTCCAGGAGCTGCTGGCCGCCGCCGATATGCTGCAGCTGAACGAGGTGGTCGACGGGTGCTGCGAGTTCCTCTGCCGCGAGCTGCACGCCTCCAATGCACTGGGCATTTTACGCTTCGCCGAGGCCCACAACTGCGAGTCGTTGGCCAAGAGTGCACTGAACTTTGTCCACGCCAATTTCCCAGCGGTAAGTTGGAGGCACTTGAAAGGCTTGATTTGTAGGTGCACCGCCCAAATGAAGAGGAGGTCATCAGCATGCTAGCATGTTTATATTTTAATGGGGAATGGCTTGCTCATTAATTGCTTTATTCTGCAAAGCTATTCTGCTTTGAAACCATTAGTTTTGAGGATGTGGCCAAGGCTTAGCCCAATATATACATTACTATATTAACTGAATGGTCGTTTCCTTTCTTCATACAGATAACGCTTGAGGATGAGTTCCTAGAAACGCCACAGACCCTACTCTCGCAGCTACTGAATTCGGAGCTACTGCGTGTAGACTCCGAGTCGCAGGTTTTCCAGGCGGCGCTCCGTTGGATCAAGCACGACGTGACGCAGCGCCGCTGCTACGTCTTCGATGTCCTGTCCCACGTGCGCATGGCCCTTGTTCCGGTGAAGGTGATCGACAAGGCTCTGAAGGACGACTGTCGCGACATGTCCGTGAAGATAGCCCTGCGCTCCATTTGCCGGGACATTGCGTCAAAGCGCGGACAATTGGTGCCACTACGGGTCTGTCCACGCCAGCTGGCCAAGAAGAATATATATATCATTGGTGGATCCCACCGCGACACGCCGCGAACCTGGAACTCTGCCGACTGCATCTTCGAGACGGTGGCCAAATTCGATATATTCCGTCGCGAGTGGACGGAAACGGCGCCCATGGAGGTGGGACGCATCCTGCCAGGTGTATCAGCACTGAATGGCAAGATCTATGTAGTTGGAGGAGAGCGCGGGTCACAAATTCTGGCCAATGGCGAGGTCTATGATCCACAAAACGATGTTTGGCAACCGATTGCCCCGATGGTTGTGCCGCGCTGCGAGTTTGGCCTCTGCACCATGGGCGGAAATCTGTTTGCCGTCGGCGGTTGGATTGGCGACGACATCGGCGGCTCCATGGAGTGCTATGATCCGGAGCAGGATCTCTGGAAATTAATGGGCAGCATGCCGCAGCCCAGATTCAGCATGGGTGTGGTCAGTTTCGAGGGTCTCATTTATATTGTGGGTGGCTGCACAACTACAACCCGTCATCTACCGGATTTAATCAGGTATTTAACCATATATACATATTCGCAGCAATATACTTTATTAAAATCCATTGCAGCTTCAATCCAGTGACAAAAGAGTGGAACGAGCTGGCCCGCATGCAAACAGCTCGCTGTCAGATGGGCGTGGCCGTTCTGGATCGGTACTTGTATGTGGTTGGGGGCAGTAGCATTAGTCAGGACATTCTCAGCTCCGTGGAACGCTACAGCTTCGACGAAGATAAGTGGACGACAGTTTGTGCACTAAACGTGCCCAGAGCCATTCCTGCCGTGGCTGCCGCCGATGGCCTACTCTATGTAGCTGGCGGTGATCAGGTAACAAGACAGCCAGCTTTTCTAATTATTTTGTTCATCATCATCATTTTTGCGTACTCTTGCAGCCCTGTGAGGTAAACTTTTACCGAGCCCAAGTGACTATCAATGCTGTCGAATGTTATGATCCGCTTTCGGACACCTGGAAGAATTGTCCCGACCTACCAGTTAGTCGTTCGGAGGCCGGAGCAGTGGTTGTTTAGGACCTCGGACTGGTCCGAGATGGTCAAACACAAAATCTGTCGTCGTTTTAAGAAAACACACGCGAAAAACGCTCTTTAACTGTAGCTCTTTGACATTGTATACGTTACACACATCACAAATCTCTTCCCTTTTTTCGATTCAATTGAACGTAGTGGTCACTCGCCAAAGATATGTGAGCGCGTTGTTACGGTTGATGTTGTAAGTGGGAGCATAGCGCAGCTATTCACCAGTTAGTACACATGCTAATAGTTAGCCACGATGGAAGCAGCCAGCCTCAGATTGTTCCGTAGTTGGAGTTGTCCTTTATAAAAGCGAAACCAAACACCGAAAAAAAACCAAAGCATTCACTTTGAAAACAACAAATTTAACGTATCGTAATTGCTGAACATTATTTGAATCAATTATTTGTTTATTTTTAAATGAATTATCTACTTTTATTGTTGAATGCTGACCAGAGTGTTAGGAACAATGTTTGAGGCGCCCTTAAAAAGAGCGAAATCTCCACTGAACTTTGTATTAGCATAGACATTAGGGACGTTTCCTTATCTAGATGTTAATTCGACTAATTCCATCCCAACAGTATTTTATTCCTAATGCTCGAATATTTATGTGAATGTGTCACAGATTGTTTCTTTTAGAATGTCTATTCTAATTAATTATTGTTTTACCAAAATCGTAACAAGTTTTTCAATACTTTTAATAAAATGGCATAAAGATAAGAAAGAGTCCCTACTGTACCAAAGCAAGTTAATACAAACAATCAAAGATGCGAACTGTATTCATAATAGGTGTATTATCGAAATAAATATACGAATTATTAACTAACAACTTAAAAGGTATTTTTTTCTCACGCGGAGGCTTTACCTGGATGTCGCCTCTTTAGTCTTCTTCGCCTGGACGTCGTGTGGTTCTGAAGCCGATCCGTTGTAGCGACTTGAATGTTGGCGAATCGGAGGCCGTACCCCATATCTGGACGCAGTAGGTCATCGGAAGGTCCATATGGTTCTGTCCATCACAACACCACACAATTTGAAATTAGTTTTATATTTATTTTTCAGTTGGGCCGAAATCCCGGCGGTACTGCAATACCGGGCCAACCCGCGACAGAGGTGGAGCAAGCTCCTAGCACTCCGTCTGATTCCAAAAATCAGTTTAACATTTGTTGTCCTCCAATGGAGGAACTATCAGATGTTAAGCTGATAAGAACAGATACTACACTTTGATCTTAGCCATAAGGCCGAGAAGCGATAAATTGTAAGGGAAAACGAACAGGGTCTCCATGAGCAACCAGCCAGAACCAGTTGGGAATTATAAGTATGCGCACTCGAAATGTGACTCAACGCAGCGGTTGTTCAATAAGAATAGCATACTTTTGGGGGTAGTTGATTTGTTGGCATCGAAGCAAATAAACGAGAATCTTTTTATTTTGTAACGGACAATTTCAAAGCGTTTTACTTAAATATTTTTTTTATTTTTTAACTTAAAAAAAAGAGGTAAGTATTAGTGACTTACGTTCTTTTGACAAATATAAATAATGTATAAAATATACAACCCCGACATATTTTGTAATCGTTATTCTTAAATTTTTTAAATATTCATGTACAAATATTAATGTTGAATAAATCAGAATATTAATTATTTAATTTACAAAATATAAGATGTTACTAAAAACGAAAAATACCCTATGTTAATTTACATAAAAGGAGCAAAAAGTATGAAATCTACTTGACATGCGCCGAAATACTGTTAACACTCTGGTAAGTGGGGCAGTACCAAAATAGAAAAACAGTTGCTGGATATACGCCGAGGTCTCTGGAAGAACATTTTCTAAACGAGCTTTAGGCGTGGCGGGATAGTAAATTTATATTGTTTTTCTATATCTGGTAAGCCAACAAAGTGCAGCATTTTCCCACGGCCAGTGTCAGCCAGCTTTTCACGCAATTTTCCATGTTTATGCGATACTGTTAAAGGTAAAATGGGAAAAGTGGCCTTGAAGGGCCAGTCCCCTTGGGTCAGGTAATGGGCGCGTTGGGAACTCCTTGTCAAACCAATATATCATCAAGATTTGGACAGTTTAAAGTGTTTGTTAGGCGTTAGCGTACGCCCTTACATTTTATTATAAATAAACTGATAAAATACTCTTCCTTTGCACTTTCCAGGATGGATTGCATGAGTATAATGCAAGACGGAAGATTTAATCACTCCGGACACTGGACATGAGGGATAATTAAACAGAACCATTTAAATGTGCAACAAACAATAACCCAGACTAACTGGGATGTGCTAGACGCTCCGTTCCTTAGAAAAATCTCAATGGCCATCAAGCTTAGCTTCGATCCATGTAGTACTTCCTGTAAGCACCTGTCGCTATTCCTATTTAAGATATCCTGTTTGGCGCTCATACTCCAAAGTGCCAGTGCCGATTGGCTAATGGACTGTGGAAACTGTCACTGCAAATGGAACTCTGGCAAAAAGACGGCCGACTGTCGCAATTTGAGCCTAAGTGGAGTGCCGGAGTACCTCAGTCCGGAGGTGCAAGTGCTGGATTTGTCACACAACCATATATTCTACCTGGAGGAGAACGCATTCCTGACCACCCACTTGCAAAATCTGCAGAAGTTACTCATACGAAATGGCACACTGAAACACATCAACCAGCGTAGTTTCACCCAACTGCAGATCCTAATAGAGCTCGACTTGTCCAACAATCTACTTGTGGACTTGCTACCCAATGTGTTCGACTGTCTTTCGAAAGTACGGGCGATATTGCTGAATGGCAACCTGTTGCAAGCACTTCGCCATGGAGTCTTTCGCAATCTCAAGTATCTGCACAAGATCGAACTTAAGCGCAATCGCTTGGTTAGCATCGATGACCAGGCCTTTGTGGGAGTACCACTTCTCTCGCAGATCTATCTGGACAACAATGAGCTGACCAAACTGAGAGTGGAGAGTTTCCAGGACTTGAATAAGCTGACAGCATTATCGCTGGTCGAGAATCCTTGGAACTGCACCTGCGATCTTCAGATGTTCCGCGACTTTGTTATAGGTATGAACCTATACACTCCGCCCACGTCCTGTCATTATCCTATGCAGTTACGTGGTCGTCTTTGGATCGAGGATCAGCCGGAGGCGTTTGCTTGCAAGCCGAGGATAGTGTATCCGGCGCTCAGTACTTCCATCAACACTTCCAAGGAGAACGTAACGCTTATCTGTCGCGTCCACGGATCTCCCAATACGGTTATTGCCTGGGACTACAGCAACCAAGTATACGAAACCCGCTCCAAGCCGGTGAAAAGTCTGCAAAAGCAGCGTGTTTACATAGAACTGTTGCGAGAAGATGAACCAAAGGTTCAAAAATTCGGACATAATGTTTTTGTGTCACGTCTTACGATAGTGAATGCCAGGAAGAGCGATGAGGGCGTCTATACATGTCTGGCGGAGAATCCCGGTGGCAGGGATTCGGTTCACATAAGTGTGGTGGTCCAAAAGGACCTGCAACGGATTTCTCTGATCGACAGCAACTTCTTTGCAATAGTCTGCCTTATATCCATGGGTTTTCTCAGCATGTCCATCCTATTTTCGTTGGTAACATGCCTGATTTTTAAGAGATTCAAGCAGTTTCATCCAAGCCAGCACTCTTATTTGCAACCCACTAGTTTTCCCGTGCAGTCACCTGGTAGTGAAGATGCTACCGCAATCAGCGCCCTTAGTTCTGGAGTTCTGCGTGAAAGCAAAATCGCACTGGATCCATTAAGTTCTGCTAGTGGACAATCAAGTAAAAACTACAGTTTATTTAAAACACCAAATTCGAATGGCAGCGAAATGTACACAAGTCATTATATGTCAACGAGGAATTATGAAGACGTGAGCAATAGTTGCATTGAAAATTTTGACAATCAGGCGGAGTCCACTTCATCCCGGAATCGGGAGCTCTATTCAATTATTGCTGGTGTCCAGGAAAAAGGAGAGCTTAAACAAAAAGGCAATAAATTGCAAAATACCACAGTGTTTGAATTTTATCTCATTCTTGTTTTTCCACTTCCTAGATGAGTTCGATAAGGATTCCCGGCAGAGTTCCTCGCAATCAACAGGCTGCTCAAAACAGAAGGGGCAAATCGAAGAACTCCAACCGGACCTGTTGCCTTCCACTGAACCCACTGCCTTAAAAAATATTAACGAGCCTTCCGGTCCACCATTGAAAAAAGGAGAAGTTAATCCCCGGAGCAAGTACAATAGCAATGTGCAAAAGTACCTAAAGGAGAAGTACGGCAGCGTTAGAATAAAGAATATCAGTACTAATGACCCCATTAGTGGTGATAATACCTCAAAATAAAAATTAATGTTTTATAATATAGCATTTCCCACCTTCTACAGCGGCAAAACCACCGTAGCCCCCATTCCATTAAAATTTAGTCTGTCCCAGGATTTCTTATTCTGCCCTACCTCTCCAAGATCTCCAGGACACATATGTACAAAGGAATATCACATTCCTTGAGACCCAGTCAAGAAGAAATGTACCTCGCCTTATTTCTGGTAGTAAATTATGTATTTTAAAACGTTACTAACATAAGAATATTTATTTACACAATTCTAAGTGTTTTAACCCACGCACTTTAAGTGAAGGAATGTAATAATAAAGTTTTAAGTGATGCCTTTAAATGAAAAATTTGACTCTTTAATGAATCCTAATAGCCATTTACATTACTTTATCATAGTTGTGAGATGATATCTTTAAGAGATATATGTCCTGGATTTAAGGACATTCCCTTTTAAGGACATTCTCATCTGATTCTAAAGGACAACGAAATGCAAAATTCGCTGTACACGAATCCTATATAGAATCCATTTAGATTACTTTATCATAGTTGTGAGATATATGAGATATAAGAGATATATGTCCTGGATTTAAGGACATTCCCTTTTAAGGACATTCTCATCTGATTCTAAAGGATAATTGTAGTAAATCGCTGTAATAAACTTATCTGTCCCACTTTCCTCCAACTCTATTTTCTACCATCCCCGACCTACCACAAATTCATTCCGATGCATGTGCCTATAATTCCCAACTGGTTCTGGCCGGTTGCTCATGGAGACCCGGTTCGTTTTCCCTTACAAGTTATCGCTTCTCGGCCTTATGGCTAAGATCAAAGTGTAGTATCTGTTCTTATCAGCTTAACATCTGATAGTTCCTCCATTGGAGGACAACAAATGTTAAACTGATTTTTGGAATCAGACGGAGTGCTAGGAGCTTGCTCCACCTCTGTCGCGGGTTGGCCCGGTATTGCAGTACCGCCGGGATTTCGGCCCAACTGGATAATAAATAGTCAAGTATAGTATTTTAGAATTGACTAGTTCCAAGATCTACTTGTCAAGACAGTGGAATTTCACAATTTGTTAGTCTCGTGTCTAAATTATGTCGTGTTACGAGGCCTGATGAAACTAATCTGTGCATCACAATGACCGCGCCCTCCACCTCCCGTGCCCAGCAGGCTACAGATACCGCCAAGGCTGTATCTGCTCCACTCCATGGATTGAGCCGGAATCGGAAGCGTCAGGAGAGGAGAAAACAGCGCCTGCACGAAATGCAAAATTTGCTGTACACGAAACACTTTTCCAACTACAGACTAACTGCGTCGGTGGCAGCCACGCCTTCCGAAGATCAGCTGCTCCGACTGCAGCTGCAGGATTTTGATTCGCTTATCGAGCAGCCGCCCAGCAGCAGGAAGAGCCCGCTCCTTGTGAACGCCTCTAGTGATTCGCCGTGGACCCGACTGCACCTGGTGGCATGCCCATGTCATGGATGCCTCTGCTCGGTTGAGCCCAGCGCTCTACTGGGTCACTATTTAAGGGACCATCTGCCGGGAATAGGGCTTCCGTTCCTCGAACTGGAAATGGGCAAGCGAGTATCCCTAACCTGTTCTTTTAGCAGTCTGGAAAGAGATGTCAACTCCATGTTGGGGGTCTATTGCTATCGGCGCACTGGCCTCAATCCTTTGAAATGCCACCGAAACACCCATCTGCCGTTGGAGTACCGCCGCTTCTCGCAGCACACCGCCCTCATGATCTTCGCCTGCCGCACCATGCACTCGGTGCTGTGGGAGAGGAAGCGTGTCAAACGCGAGGTTCTGGCAATATGGGTTGCTACTCCTTTGCACGGTGTGGCCATCGCACTGCGGCTGCTGGTCCAACCGGCCAAGTCGCCACGCTACTACACAAAGCAGATAAAAGCCCGTCCAATGCTGCCGTTGTCGTCGAACCAAACCTGCAGTGAGTTCATCAAGACCGATAGCAACGTGATCCTCATCAGCTTAGAGGACCTTCGACCACTAATGAATTTAGATGTGTGGCAACAATCGCTAACCGTCGAACTGAAAGTGATTAGCGAGGCAAGAGTATAATTGAAATATATTTGGAATTTGCAATATATTTGGCCATGTATTTAAGTCTAAGATAAATCATTGAAACATAAAACTTGAACTTGCACTTTGTTGTATATGCATTAATAAATAGGGACAAAGTATCAGAGATTACATTTGATAAAAGCAGTTATTTCCTGATCCGGAGATCCTACTTGCGTTACATTGCTGAATATATATACATTTCGTACAAGGCTTTTCTATTGCCAAACGTTTGGATAACATGTCACAGTTTATCTTACAGCATACAAATTTTGAGCTTACATACATAAAATTTAGATTTTAAATATGCTATACTAAGGTATTACAAATATATAATTATGTGTATAACCTTATATCATTAAGGCTTTCTAAGTGGCGCATGTGCAGATATTCAAAAATTGTACTACAAAACGAGCGAGCGGTACGCTGCATCCGAGACTTTTAAAAGTTACTGGCTGCACAGCCCCTCAGGCAGCGTCGCTTCGCTTTTAACGCAACAAAACACAAGAGCCATCTTAACGGGGACGACAAACTAAAACAAACAAAAAATATAAAACATCGGTCTAGTGTGAGAGGTCGGAATCGGGTTCCGGCTAGCCGGCCTTTTGGGTCTGTTTTTGGCGTTGAAGTGCCTCAAAGGCTTCGATTTCCTTTTTTTCTTTGGCCTGGTTGCGACGCTCATATTCCAGCCGGTGCGAGATAATGCGCTCCACGATACGCTCCGTGGTCATCTCGTTACCGGAATCGATCAGCTCAAAGATAGCTCGCGTCTTGGGAACGGCATATGGATCGATCTTGCCGTTCTCTAGAGAAATGGGAGTGCGTCCGTGGCATACGACATCGATTTTGAAGTGTTCAAGCAGATCTTCGGTGACGCAGTAGGGCGCTCCAATTACTACCTCATTGACAAACTGGGGAAATGGGGAAAATAAAGTGTTAATGAGACAACTTTTTAAAGGTTCACATTGCAATCCTACCTTGCAAGCCAGAACGCTGAGCACGCGCTCGTGCAAATTCATAATGGGATAGTTGCTGCCCTTATAAGAGTTCACCACTGGATCTGTGTGCAGGCCAACAATCAGATAGTCACCCAGTTTCTTTGCCTTTTCCAGAAAGTCCAGGTGACCCACATGGAAGAGATCGAAGGCGCCTGCCACATAAACCTGGCAATAGCGAGCATTATGAGTTTTACATATACAGAGCCATATCACGATGAAGGCTAAACTTACAATCTTATCACCGGGAGTCGGTGACTTGCCATCACTGAACTGTATGATCTTTTGGGTAGTCGGCAAGAACTGACTACAACCGGTCCATGGACTTTTGGCTGCCGAATCTTGACCCATGTTCGAAGAACCTGGATGGGATTTTATTTGTCGTTTTAAAATTGACACTGTTTTTTTTTTTTTGTTGATAATTGTATTGTAAAGCAACGCAGACAAATGAGCAAGTGTGTATTTAAGAGCGAAAATTTACGTTTAGGATTTGATTTCGATTTGGATTCGGATTTGGATATTTTGATTGCAGGTTGGTCGTTGGGTTTGGCATATTGGATTCATTTCGCGGGCGCGCACACGCACAAATCATTTGGCATATTGAGATTATAGCATAGTTTTCATAGGTTTCATACATTATATTATATTTTGGTTAGTGGTAAACAGTGCGTACATAGAAATAAAAAGAAGAGAAATAGTAAAGTTGTAGAGAGCAACATAAACCAAGGAGTTATATCCGTTCAACTATGACAAATAAAAAGTTGAACTCGTTGAAAGGAATCTAGTAAGGAAAATGCATAAACTAATCGTGCGTAGCTCATGTATAAACTAAATATATCTGTATAATATTGTTCATACTTGTAACTGATTGATCGACTTTGGTTTATGCACAGCATGCATGAGCAATATAAAAGTTCAACAGAAGGAAATGAAAGACAAAAACAGTGCAAACAAAAAGTTGTCTTAAAATTAAAGTTAGTAATGGTTAGAAACAGTGAATTCGGCGCACAAGACTGAAATTGTGCTCGCTGTGATTTAGGAACATTTAAATGAAAAGTGAATGTGCCAGAAAAGCGTTGAAACGAGCTTAAGCTACCTTCTTTCTCGATATCATATTCGGCGGATCCTTGACGGAAGTGATTGCGTGTCAGGAGCAACATGCGGCCCACAAGGTCAGTGGTCGAAACTCCAGCTGTGCGTTTTACTTCCCTGGAGATGGCATAAGGAAATTTAATTGGTAAGTGGTAATATAAAGTACGTGCGTTATAAGACAACTAACAGTTTATTAAAGATCAAGGCAAAGGTTACATATGGATTCCCTTTTCAATAAACTGCCACATGTCTGAAAATTATGTCATTCCTACTCACTTGTAGCGATTAGCTGACTTGACCAAATGATATGTGTCCACTCCTTCGGCTGTCATGGTAATGTCATCTGCAAAAAATTAAATGCTCGTTTAAGTAACATCCAGAAATATTTTGATTCATTGGTATCCACCTCCGTGCACACAGAAATCACAGTTGTTCTGGTCGAGCACCTCCAGTGTGGTCACATACGGAGCACCGAGCACCACTTCATCCACCCATTTGATGCCCTTGACCATCTTGACGCGCTCCTCCTCGGTGAAGACCGGCGGTCCCTTGTGCTTGGTGATCTCCTCGTCGGTGTGAATGCCCACAATTACCTTATCACCAAGTGCTTTGGCTTGTCGCAGGGAGTTGGCATGCCCGAAGTGCACCATATCATAGCTGTTGAGGATGGGAGGAAGTACAATTATTAGATATTTCAGTACAAACGCGTGCCAAAGAACAAGGGAACAAATTTAATTTGTTGTCCTTATCATGGCATGACCGCCTTTATTGTCACCGGAAATGTTGTCTTTAATTCGTCGAAGCTGAACATTTTCTGAGATAACAGACTGCACCTATTGCGGCGACCTTGTCGATTAGCTAATGAACAAGATCTTGCCTCTACCAATATGACTCAGAAAATGGCATATATTTCGTAAAATTAGCAATATTCGAGCTCGCAAGATAAGCCGAGACTGGCAACAAATAAAAACATGTATAGCATGGAATGTACAAATAACAAAACCCAGGCCCAAAAAAAAGTCGACAATCTAGACGGGCAGCTGCAATCCTGGCCATTTAGTTAATGATGGAAGCTAGCTAATCCCGTCGAAGCAGTACTGCTGATGACCCAGACCACAAAGCAATAAAGTGGCTCGAACCAGCCATTTACATACATAGCTTACATAAACCGCTGTCAAAGCGCGTCAATGATGTCTGGTCGAGTGCTTTTAATGACCACTAGCTGACGGACTGACCACCGGTGACTATGCACAGGCGGTTTGTGTGCTCCACTTTTGCCCAGCATTGGCCAAGATTGATCTTTGGACTCGATCATCAGAGTAGGAACGCCAAAAATGCCGAGAGATGAAGAAACCGAGACAGGGGATATCAATGAAGCAGTGTTTTGCTGCTCGCTGTTTTGCAATTCTAATTGCAATTATGAGAGCTGCTGCGTCAGCTTTTCAGTGGCCACTATTCGCAAACAGCGCCATTCAGCTTGTTTACATTCTCCGCCGATTCTAGGCATTATGGTTATAGGCACACGTGCCCTGGCCTGGTTTTTGTTTGGCTTGGGAAAGCGATAATAGCATCCGAGGGACGTGAGGCGTTGCTCAAATTGCACTTAACACCAATTACGTAGGTATTTACTGCGGAACGCATTTTTTGCCCCATAAGCAATTGAAATTTTTATTGAAATGTGTAGATAAACCGCCAGATCTTTTTTTGGCGGCATTTTATGAAATGAGGAACCATACTGGCTCTGTATGATGCAAGGTAACCACTCTTCTAAATTGTGTACGATAAGAAATAATGGCGTCAACATTATCACGCCCGTCGGTTCTGCAGTAATCGATTGTGTGGGAGTTCATTCGAAATAGGTAGACGGAAAGTATTTTAAGTACTGTTTCCATTGAAGATTAGAGAATTTAGAATAGAGCTTAAAAGTCGCGGAACCAGCAAATCACTTTGGTATGCACCTGGTATGTGGATTTGTCCAGACAGTAACAAATCCAGAGACCACTAAGCAGCTAGGAAAAGCGTGGGCCATTCATTAATCGAAGCGAGACCTTTGCTCCCGGAGATTTTTTGCAGCACCAAGAAATCTGTGCCGAACATACTATACCCATAAAACATTGTACTCTATATGTGGAACAGACCCAGGGGTCGCTTAATCAATTGAGTGAGCTAAAAGCAGCGACACAAGCGACAGCAACGACGACGCCCGTTTGCTGATTAAAAAATATCACGCGATTCTCCGTAGAATTTGTGCGCTGACGACCGGACCCCAGCCTAGTAAAGTGGATTGACTTGGGAGGGGTAAAGTATGCCATAGACCCTATATACACATATCAATGCCTTAAGGCCCCGAGAGCTCCCCATTCATTTGTTTTTCCTCTGGCAGAGGTTCATTGACTTGGATGGAAAGGCGGAGACAAGCCGAGCACTTGTGCCTGCGTCAATGATCAATTTCTGCTGATTAGAATATTCGGGTCCAAGTGCCCCACATGCACATAATTATGTACGTGTATGTAGCCCATTTGCTGGGCTATTGGGCAGATTCCACGCAAACATGATGTTTATATTTGCTTTCGCCCATGAGCAGCTGATGTGGAATTTAAGCGGCGTTAATCTGGTTGGAGTGCTACTACGTAGGTCAGTCTTATCAGCCTCAGCCAGAGGACTTCCACGCTGGCGGCAGGGTGCTGTGACCCATTGACAATGGACATAAGGGAGCATAGATTGCCAAAAATTACCCGGAAACGCCAATGAGCGTGTTGTACACACTTGTATAGGTCTCCCCTGATTGTTCTAAGTTTAAAGCCATAACATGAGCCAATTACATGATTAATCTAGTTTTGTTGATCTTTCTATTAGCAAATTTGAACAAATTTATTAGCATAAGAGAAATATATCCGCTTTTGGGCTTTTAAATGTTATTCAAATTCCTCAAAAGCAGACATGCTCTCATAGAATACACGAAGTATTCACATGTTTCTTCTAAATGATTCAGCCATAACTATTGGACGGATGTGATATTTATAACCGCCTATAAATTAGGCAAGGGATATGCGAATATTCAGAGCAGGAGAAGCCCAGCGAAATGCCAATTAAATTAGGCACATAAAAGACCGCCTGGCGATGACGACAGTATTGTGGGTCAATGGCAAGGCAATGGCAATGATGGTGGTGCAAACCGGGTGCGTGGCACCGCCGAGGAGGAGGCATGCGCAGACCCGCCAATCGGCGGGCAACCACAGTCAACGAGGGCGCAGTGCAGCGCTCATCCCAAAATAAAAAAAGAGGAAGGAAAGCTGTTCAAATACAGTGGGTTAGCCAGAGCGTATATGGCACTTGCGTATATATACAAAATCGTACGATGATTGTATTTTTGTTTGTTGGGCGTGTATACCATTGTTTATTCGGTGAGTGGAAATACAATGAAATAAGAGAAAGAGCGAGGGCGAGGGCGAATATAAACAATGGGTGTATTTTTATTTTTTTTACTAATGGAATCGTCTGACGGTAGCCACAATTGAGGAAATTTTTATTGTCCCTCAATTGAGCAGACAAACTTGTTATGGTAGGCCATCCATCCATATCGCAGTCCGACGCGTCATTACCGATAAAGATAAACCGGTTCTTGATGATGCATTGCACGGAATCAAGTAATTATACATATATGGGTGAGCGCAATGCCTATAGAACAACTTGATGGTGCCCAAAAAGGCAAAGTGCCTCAATAGTATCTATACACGGATCTAAAATACATGCATTAGATAAACCGAAAACCCATCTGCAAGCTAATTTGGGATATGGCTAGTATTAGCTCCATAATATCCACAGTAAACTGAGGATGTTTTAGAATACCCACTGTGAAGTGTACAATTAGCGGACGCCTTTATAAATAGATTACATAGCATATAAATATAATGCAAAAGGCCCGGTCAAGCGTGGAGAATACGGACATTTCGGATCCGAAAGACCTTGAACCTGACGTAGACATCTCAGCCGAACAACGGCAATGGGCGGCTATTGGAGCGGGAACCGAGACGACACAGTTCCACAAAGATTTGCTAATCAATTGAGGAACCCAGAACGCTTCTTAGTACACTTAAAAATGTTTAGTTTATCGTCGGCTGATTACGGGTATTGGTATTGGAATTAAAATGGTAAGGTTCGGTTTGCCGCGGTTGGGCATGGAATCGATGGGAGCGTCGTGGAACGGGTATGCTTTGACTCACTTTACCGTTAGCGCTGAGTAACGGAGTGACGTGACGCAATGGGGTGCCTTAAGAACCGCTAGATATTTCGCGCCCGATTCCTGGAGGCGCCGGAACGCAGATGACTCACCATCCATCGCACCAGACGCGAACATCCTTCTGCTGCTTGTCGGAATGCCCATTGCAGGCGCTGGTATCGCCATTTGCCCGCTTGTCCTCCATCGTTGACTTATTGAAATTTCACAATCGCTTTAATTTTGAATCCGGCTAACAGGCGCACATTAGATTCCGGAGTGTACGTATTATTTGAATATTTCTGTTTTCAGTTCTCGATTTCGATTTCGAGGCGGAAACTCGACAACGATGTTTACGCTTCGAGAGCTGTAAGTTATTTGTTCTGAGCTACGACGACGCCCGCATACATATATAAGTTCCCATTCACGACCGAGCTACTCAGTTTCAGTTTCAGTTCTCGTTATCGGTTTCGGACTCGGATTCAGATTTCAGATTCGGAGCGGAATCGGTCTCAGATTCTTAGACTTGCATTATCAGAGCGCGGGCGCATGGAAACCTTTTCTTTGGAGCGTAAGTGCGTCGTCTTTAGCTTGGGTTTTTTTTTACTTTCTGCCATTTCATTTTCTCACAATTCCGAGTACCGTGAGAGCAGAGTGGCCGGATCGGCGTTGGCCAAAAATACCATCTGCCCAGTGCGATAAATACCAACTAACGCTAATTTTGTAAACAGCAACAGCTGTTCGAAAGAACTCGATATTGGGAATACATTTGAATTGGCTCCATTTCTATTACTAAAGGAAAGCTTTACATTTAGCAAGCACAAACCTGTATTATATTACAGGGTAAGACTAGGGATGAGCTCTACAAGCCGTTATAAATAGAGTTCCCCATTGTAGCGAAGTACGTGTATAACTTCCACGAGCAAACGGTAAAATGAAGCTGGGCGATCGAGCACGCGCTGGTTCCGGCTAACGTATTGGCTGTCGCCAATAACGTAAGCAACATGTTTCGTTACATTTCTCGAAATAAAAAAGGTAATCGTATGTATTGTTACGTCAATGACTACTAACATTTGCCTACAATGGGCCTTGGTTCGTGCTCATAAGACTCGCCTCCATTGATTTTAATAAATAAAGGAAAATTCACAGGTCAAAAGTATTTTACTTTTTAATTCGACATCGGGAATATGTACATTTTAACTAGTCTACAAGTACCGTTTCCATTTATACCTGTAGTCACAACAATCTAAGGGATATGGATTTTAGCGTTAGAAAATTGTTTAATGGTAACTAACTTACTCACCCTCAACCCAGCATTCAAATGGGGGGAATGATTTGCTATAAACAACAGCAAATTGTGTCAAAGGAACAATTATAGCGTAAGGCCCATTTACCATTTTTTTTGGCAAATGGTAAAGATGGTAAAATGTAGCTAGGCGATCGAACACACGTTGGTTTCGGCTACAATTCTTCAGAAGGTTATTTTCTAGACAAAAAAAACTGGGTATCGGACTAACATTCGACAGGAAGGACAAGAACATAACTACTTCTTACGTCAGCAGCTGTTATGCCGTCGACTATGGCCGCCAAAGACATTTAACATAAATGCTGATCCCTACAAGTATGCTACACCTTACACAACATCCGAACACATGTGGCTCCCCTAAAGAAATTATGGATAAAACATAAAGTTTAAATTTATTCATAGATTAAACTTAAAATCTGACAAAAAATTTTTCTCGGCAGGCTTATTAGGACTGAACACACTAAGTTTTAAAACTAAACATACCAATTTAAATGATTTAAAAATGATTTTCGATTTTGAACCTAAATGTAAAATTATTTTATTAATTATATATATAATTATATAAATCGAAAATAATTTTTTAATGATTTATTTATTGCTCTCTCGCCTTAATGAGAGACCAACTACATATATATAATATATATAAATCGTTATATATATCTTATTTAATATGTATGTAAAAAAAATCCGATGTATGTTCGGAGAAGATTCTGGATGCTTTTTAAAATATTTAAAGACATCTTTCATCCCACTGTAAAAATAATACTAAAAGTATTTTCAATGGTATTTTAGCCATTGCGATTTGGGATAATACTACGGTGTTTCCAACGGTCACACAGGATAAAGCAACTTAAAATATTAAGCCTAGCAAATAAGAAATATACAACGCAAAGCACGCAGAAATACATAAAATAGCAATCGAAGTTAACCGACCAAGCCATGATAATGTAATCATGATCGTCCACAGTCAGTTCGGGCATTGTTTTGTAGACAGCATCAAGTATATTTTTTAAATTTCACGTGCTAAATTTACAAGAAATCCTACCACAATTGCTAAACGAATCGACGAGGGCTAGATAATCCCAATCCCATTCCCCGTACCAACGCGATGTCCAGGAGAGAAGCCAATCTGATGGCCTACGCGACGTTGGAGGAGCAACTGCTAAACCGCTACTCGCCGCTGGAAGGCGACGAGGTTGATGCGGAGGCTAGCAAAGCTCCAGGCACCGCATCGGGCGTGGCTGAGGATCGAGAGTGTCCCACGGATCTGGCTGCATCCGGCACTAGATTCTCAGGGGCGGGAGGAGATCTGGACCCTGCCGCGGACAGCATGTTCCACGTGATCTCCGACGACTCGGAAATCTGCAGCCTTATCTCAAGTGGCAGTGGCTTCAAGGGATGGCCGGAGGAGCACCCGTCTTCCAGTTTCGTCAACCAAAATGAAGCCTTAATATTCGGACTTCGTCGGCAAGTGATGGTGGCCGAAGAGGCACCTCAAGCCCCGGAATGGGCCCCCTGCACGCCGGCGAAACGTCCGTGCAGCAGCCACGAGGTCATCGAGATCAACGGTTTGTTCTATTAACTATTAATTTGAATGATATTGAACAATTTGAAATATTTAATACGATAAACTCACTTTCGTTTTTCTTGTGTTGCAGACTCGCCCGAAGCTGTCCAGGATCCGACCATTGCACTAATGCAGACTGTAGTCAGCAGCCCGGCAGGATTGCTGACCAATGGCAATGTTGACCAGTTCGACATGCTATCCCACGAGAATGGTGAGGCTGAACATGAAATTCAGGTGGCCGAGGAAGAAGAGCAGTGTGTGATCTACGAATCTGTGGATGAAGAGAACATGGTCGTCCTAGCGGAAGAACACTGCTGTGAGATCATAGTAGCTACCCAGGGTGTTGCATGCGAGCAAGAGTTCACCAGGGCCATCCTGATGTCCGGAAACGGTACCGGACAATTGCTGGGTTTGCTGCCTGAAGAGAGTGTTGCGAATGAGCGTCTCAATGGTACTGCCTACATCGAGGAGGGCGAGGCACGTTTGGCGGCTGAAAACAATGTGTACCTTAGTGATGCAGCCCTAGAACAGCCATTAGTACATCAGGAACTGGTCGACGACGAGGCGGCCGAGGAAAACGAGAACGCCACATTCTTAGACGACACACCGATGGAGGAAGAACGCCCAGACATTTGTCAGGTCTATGATCACGAACTGGAGGACCACGACGATGAAGAATGCGATGGCGCAGTCATCCAGGAAGAACCAGACCAGCCTATCGACATTATTGCATTAGAGGGACGGGAGCGGCCGCAAAATAATCTGCAAAGAAAGTTGCCTCGCGAACACAGCAGTCCCACGGAATTCCCAGTCAGCTCATCCTCCATGCCCAACGCCAGTGACCACTACGACTTTGAGGACGAGTTAACCGGCGGCCTCTCTCCATCCAAAGTGGCGCCGCTAAAGCGCAAGTATCCGCCGTTGATGAAAAATACGCTGCATGGAGAGGCCATGGATCGAAGACTGGCAAGCATCTGCCAGGCTCAGCCGCAGATGAGTCCCGCCGAGAAAGTCACCAATTGGAACACGGCACCCATGGACGAATGGGCCGCTGTCGAAGATGTGGAAAGCTTTGAGGCCGCCTTCAACCAGAATGAGGCTGTTACGGCATCTCTCAAGCAGCATAACTTTCCCGACTTCCGTGATACACTGGTGCGGAACATGGAGAAGATCAGTCGTGACGTCATGCAAACCTCAGACGAATCTACTCAAGAGCTAGCCAGCTCCCAGTCGGCGGAGCGTCCTGTGCATCGTCGCTATATGCATATGCTGCCCACCGAGGAGACAATTGTGCTAGATGACGATGACGACGATTGCTACGAGGTAGTGGGAATGGAAAAAGCCTCTGTCACCACATTGATTCCCGATGAAGAGCTGCAAGTGGATCCACAACCGGAGGAAGACGAGGTGGAGCTACCCGCTGTCGATGACTTAAATTATACGGACTCCCAAAACATTGAGCAGCGAAACCTTACTAAGGAAACCTCAACAGCAGACCTGGAAAGTAGCGCAGTTATTCCAACGGCATGTTCGTTCGCTGCGAATCTGGACTTGGTTGCATCCGTTTCCCATCCTCAACCTCGTCCATCTGCTCCAGAAGATATTGCTAATTTTATGCAGCCGAAGTTGAGCGAGCATGGGCCCTCAGAGGACCAGCAATTTACTAACGCTGTTTTAGATGTTATGTGTCAGCAGGTACAAACAATACAGCAGCAGCAGTTTATAGAGCAAAAGATGAAGCTACAGCCACAGATGCATCGCTACCAGCAACTGCCACAGGCTCCCCAAGGTAAAACATTGTATTTGTTTTATTGTATATTTAATTTATTCATTTTATTTGCCAATGGCAGGAATCCAGGCGCCTTACGTCAACTGTCCGAATGATAGTATGTTCTACGAGCAGCAGGAATTCTGCAACTATCTGGGTCTCACTGAACTGGCAACAGCAAACGCTGTGGCTACCGCAATGAAGGAGCTTGCCAACAGCACTGTAGCTCGCCGATCACTGCGGGTGAGACCACAACAGCAACTGGATAGGATGCGTAGTGATGTGCGTGGTAAGCGTCGCGAAAGGGAACGAGATAGGCAGCAGGATAAGGACAAGAAAGTACCACTGACCACCAGTAGTGAGCTAAGCACCGATAAGGAAGAACCCTCCCCACCTCAGACCTCAGAATCCGTTTCAAGGATGGCGGGCGTTGAGGACCTCACCTTCAACTCCAAATTGCCCGCAGAGCACAGACGCAAGCTGAATCACTTTTACGACTCATATTTTGCGGAAGACGAAGAATGCTCAACGAAGAAGTCGCCCAAAACCACCAACCTTTTAGCCACTTCCAAACCTTCAAAGGATGGAGAGACGTGTCCGTCCCTCAAAGAACAGGAGCCGCAATATCATAGATCCGTCATGGATGGCAACGGCTACAAGAAACATGAGATAGACAAGGAGTCTGAGAAGGGTCGGGCTCAGTCCGTTGAGGCGGCTTTTACCAAGATCTTTGAGGCTGCCGCACCTGCACAGTCCAAGCTGCTGGAGAGCATGCAACAACGACTGCGCCAGGCGCGTGAGACCAAGCCATCGATTTATATTATCAAGGCTACAAGCAATGCCTCGCCTCCAAATCCATCGCCTAGCAGGCAGGAGTCTCGCATGTCACCAGCGCGCTTACACTTACTCAGCGGCTTTGGTGACGTAAGCGCACCGCGTCCATCACTCATTTCCCAGCCAGCAAAGAAAAGTCTTAAGGACTCTCGGTCACCTGTCCCCTTACCAGCTGATGCAGCCAAAAGACCAAAGCATAGGAAAACCCATGGAGCCACCAAACCTGCTGCCGCCACACAACGGCGCCGCACTACCGTGGGAGCTACCAGCCCCGGAAAAGAAACTCGCGTACGCGATTTGGTTACACGCTCCACCACGCATCTTAATTCGAAGCTACTTCGGAACCGCAAGGTCAGTCTGCTCAAGAGCTACGCTCTATCGGATGAAATGGCTCAGGGACGATCCAAGCGCATTCCTGGCGGCGCAGCGCAAACCACCAAAAAGGTTCAAATGACCAAGGCTGTTCGGGCGGCGTTAAAGAAGCCGGAACCGGCAGATAGAAGTCTTCCTGAGCAGCATCGCTTGCAGCAGCAGCAATTGGCTCCGCAAAACACTCCACGAAAGATGAAAGGTGTCAAGGAGAATGCAAATATCACTACAAGTGCAACGAAGTCTAGTCGCCCGACCAAGCGGACCAAGCGAGTACGAGCCAAGTCTCTGCCCACGAATATTGAAACGGTGACTGAACCGGTGACAGCCGTTCCTAATGCCACTGTTTTGAGGCTCGATAATTTGCCACCAGAAGTTCCCAACGCCTTTGTGGCTACACACAACCATCTGGCCAACTCCGCTGCCAAAGAAGCTGCAGATAAGACCATCGTTCATTCCCCGTCCGTCGCACAATCGGCTTATGCACAGCCCGTGCTTATTTACCCGCCATCCCCTACAACACCGCCACCAAATACGGAGCTACACCGCCCTCGCCAGCAAGCCGGAAAAGTCAATCATGCTGACCTAGTCCTGGCCACTCCCCCTGGCGGCCTGCTGCGTCTAAGTCAGGGATCCTCGACGCTAGCAAATCCACTTTCCGCCAAGCACGGTCAGGTTCTCTATATGTACTACGAGCTAGAACAGCTCATCGTGGTGCAGGAGAATTGCATTACCTTCTGGAAGTACTCCAAAGTGTTCAACGTCCTGCATCAGCCACGATATAATCCCTCCTTTGATGGCGTCAAAAAATCGCCCTCACCGCAGCTGCCTCAACCGCATCCGCGCGAACCCAAAGACGCAGAGCAGGAGCTGGATGTTGGACCGCGATGGGTTTACCTCGGAAGAGTGCGGCGCCTAACTATCGGTGGGATATGATTATTAAGAACCGTTTATTTTAGGAAGCTTTCTAAACTCGTTTTTTTTGTTTGATCCATTACAGAGAAAGAGATCTTCACGCCGTTTGGCAGCCGCATTTGCGTGCACAATTCTACGCCGGTGTACCTTGAAATGCGGAGCAGGCCGCTGGACCATCACAAGAGGGAGGTGAAGCTTACCTCCCTACATGTGAATGTGTACTACTTCTGCGAGGAAGAATTACGGCCCCGTATGCACTCTGTGCACTTGGATGCTGTTAATTGGTAAGGTTGACTATAAAGTATGCTTAAATTCTATGATTTAACTAACAGCTTACGTTATTCAGCGAGTGGCCGCATGTCATATACACAACTATAGCGGATTCGCGTTACTTTGTTATGGCATGTCAGCAGGAACTGGTGATGGGCAAGCCGCGTTCGGGCATCTGCAAGTATTCACTGACGCCCACGCTGGATACGCTGGCCTCCATACGGGAGTTTAAGCAGTTGCGCCACGAGCTGCGTCACATTGAGTGCCTTTCAGAGGATCGCCTTATTGGTTACGGACAGACGCGTATCACCGTCTGGGATCACCGCAGCGGGGACATTCTGATGAACTACGACTTGGGCCGCCCTCTGGGCCGCTGCCTGGCTGCTATGCACTATCCTAGCCTCGACATGGACCAAAGCAGCATGCTGGTGCTTTACCAGCTTCTTAAAGAAGCAAACAAGCCGGCTGAGGTGCATGTGATCGCCTGTGAGCTGTCCCATGCCACGCCCTCGCACCGCCTTCTGCAGGTACACCGCTTACCTTCGCCGCAATTTGACGATACTACAGAGGGAGTTAACACCGGGGATCACCTGATCATCAGGTCTGCATCGAACGACGAAGCCTGGATAAGTGCCGCCGATCCAAGACAGCTCACCTATTTGGCGCCGCAAATCAATGGAGCGCAGCGTTTCTATGCCCGCCACAAGTCCCAGGTGATCGAGATGTCACCGCAATCCCTAACTGTAGATAGCATCGCCAATCACATGCTAAAATTGGCAGTCCAGCAGACCCACTCGTCGTAGGCATGTGTCGAAAACTGTGGAGAATCTCGACCGTGAACAGTTTTTGTTTAATTTTTTTACCACATCCCTTGTTGAAAATCACCCAGAATACCCGATCTATAAATGTGCTTCTGGCTGTCAGCCCAAATATAGTTCAAATATACGAAACTATAATAAGTTGCGTGTTATACCCCATAGTCCTAACAATCATCATCATCTAATAATATCAACATTTCGCCTTAGTCTTTAGTAAGTCGAAGAATAGCCTTTTTTATGCGCTATTTTGGAATAAGTGTTTTTGTTTCTTTCGTTCTTTTTATTTTTTCTAAAAGAAAAACAAAACTAGCTTAAGCTATAGTAGTTTTAGGCTTATGAATTCAACTGTTTGATTTCCTACTATCGAATGTAGTAGTGAATGTGTCATATTTTTAGTTTAATGGAAACACCAAAATGGAAAGAAATAAATGTCATTAAAAGGAAATCTATTAAAAATACCATGTGTTTGTAATCGTGGTATTAGAAATTGTATTTATTTTTATTTTAATTTTAAACTTTATTTATACAAGAGGGGCAAGTGATTTGTCAGCAACTATTAAAAAATTGCATCTAGTCGATTCACAGATATGTTTTTAGCCACAAATAACTTGGCTTATAATACTCGAGCATTATTTCCGAGGCTGCCTCTAAAACAAAATTAGTTTTGACATCCGCTTGACTGCAATAGAGCCGAAACTATATAACCACCAACCGATCATTGGTTGGATCTTGATGTGGATGAACCCGTTACCGAGATCGTTGTGAATCGGAGTGCACGGCAGCATCCTGTTGGCACTAGGAATACTAATTCAAACAAGTTCTTTGAGAAGGTATTTTCCATTAATGCATAAAAGTGTTAGCAAAGCTGGATCTTCAGTTTTTACAACAAATCAAAAATGCCTTAGAGTTTTCGTATATTTAGTTCGTATATTTTAGACTAACTTTTGTATAATATCTAATCAATTTCAACTACTCGGTTGTCGATCAATTCCGACTCTCTATCCTATGAACTAACTGCTTAAAACGAATCCTTATTTTCTATTTTGTTAGTCACTAAGTTATAATCTTTTATATACAGAATTTTTACTTACATTAAAAAAGTAAAATCCATCGAAAAAATTGTGAGGTGGACCAAATATACAATTAGAATGAACGCGAATGCGATGCTATTCGGTTATAATATTGCCACTAGGAAGCCAATTGCCTGCCTGAGAACCAACCACGAAATGCAAAGATCCTTTAACTGAGTTCAAAAACTCGTGGCATTAAATCGTTCTTACATGTCTAGCAAAGTACAGGAAATTTCAATTTAGTTACGGTCGCTAACTGTACATGTTACGAATATAGAAAATATATCTCTATTTTGGCGAGAACCATTTCAAGGTGGTATGTAACCTCAAAAGAATAGTTAACGCTGAGGGCGATCCAGCAGCCGTAGCAGTCCACTACAATTCTTTTTCCGGTTTCTGTGCTACCGACGCAGTTTGGTTTAGGCGCTGCTCCTTGGCCAGTTGCCACCGCTTGAACTCCACCATCTGCATGACGCGAACACGCAGAGGCTGTTTCCGGCGCTGCATAACCGCCGAAAGCTTGCCGAACTCCATGCTGTACATGAAGACGACTGGAATGAGCACGTCGTCCTTGCCGTCGCCGGACATTGCGAACATCGGCTGCGTCTCACCGGAAGAGCCCGGAACATTATCACAGACAATCAGCGCTGCCGCCCCCACTTTCTGGGCCAGTCGCGCTTTGCTTACGAACGTGCAATCACCGCGCTCGGCCACCAACACCTTTCCCTTCGCCTCTTCGGCATTCTCTAGGGTCTCATCGCAGGCTCGAAGCGGCTTGGCCAGTATTAACTCCCCTTGGACGAACTGATCGCCAGTTAACTCTGGGCCAAAGTGCGAGGGCCCGGCCATCAGGGCGATCCAATCCTGTGGCTTCTCATCAGTGGCGTAGGCTACGGCCTACAAAGGAAAGATACATTTCAAATATCATAAGGATTCCCTTTAAAATAAAGCATACAAACCTGCAGTTGCGCTAGCTGATTTATGCTCTGCATCTTGGTCAGCTCAAGCATCTCCTGCATAAATTGCAGTCCCATTTCGCCTTCCTCGTGGCTTTTTGCCTGAATAAAGTCAAATTTATATTAATTTGTCCCACGATCTGTGTGATGATGATGAGAAGGAAGAGGAGGAAGCGGAAGATCGAGGAAACTGGTGGCGCAAAGGTTACCAACCAGAGTGTCAACGAAATGCAAACGAAACCAAAAAGCAGAACAGAAAAAAACTTACATTATAGAAACTATGAAACAGTCGCACCTTGCCTTGGCTGCGGTCGCCTACCGAAACCATGGTAATGCCCATGTCGTAAACAGCTCGAAGATGATCTGCATTGCTTGCCTGAAAATCCAGGGCGCTGAGTCGCTTTCCCGCGGTGGTGCGAGGGCACGAGCCCGTAATGAAGTTGCGCAGTGGCTTGCGTACTTTTTCAGGAAAAAGCTTATTTGAACTGGGGCAGGTGCGCATGAAGTCGAGTACGTTGTGTTCGTCCGTCTGGCGAAAGCCTGTAAAAGGAAGAAGAATTTAATCAGAGTTCCCACATAACTCACTAAGGATTTAAAACTAAATTGACTATCAATATAAAGCTATTGATAACAAAGAAAGATTGTCAACCAATTGATGCCTATCAAGAGCTATTTGTTGTGATAGAATTACTGATAGCGCTGCAGCGATTACGTAAAGCAATTTAGAACCGAAAAATGACTTACTAAACGTGGCATTCCCTAGTTGCGCAATAGAGAGCGGAAGCAGATGAGCTTCGGTCGTGAAGACGAACTCATCGACGTTTATGATCAGATCCTGGGGATCGGAGAACAGGAGGAATAGGTACTTAATCGTCTCGGAGAGCACAAACGAGTCCATGCGATCCTCGTGCTTGCCAGTCCGTACATCATTGACGGCCGCATAGCCGCAAGATACCTTAGCATACTTCTGGAGTGTCTTCAGAGCCTTCTTGCCAACCTGCAGGTAATGATGATCGCCAGTGGCGCGGTACAGGAAGTAAGTGGACTCGATAAATTCTGGTCGCAGGGGATGTTGTCCCCAATGTATTTGGAAGTCTACGGTAAATGCTTCTGGAATGAAGGTGTGCATCTGCATAACCTAAGAAATAATAAGATAAATAATATTTGTAAAATAAATCGTATTTATGGGCGGATTTGGAAAGGATAGAGCATACCTGATAGAGCATCTCGTGTGTCTGCACAGCTGGTTTCAGGTCGCCGGAAAGCACCTGCAGACCCGGCCAGAATGCCAGGAGCGAGTCCATAAAGTTTTTCGACTTAGCGTGTGGCCTGTGCATCAGCACGTCGAGTAGCATGGGTCCTTCGCTGACGTACTTCATTACCGCGTTGTAGTGGCGATTAAAGCGGGCCAGGTACTTGTCGTCTCCCAGTAGAACGTAGGACTTGAACAGGTACTCATAGTAACTGTCGATGCCCGCTCCGACTCCGGAATCCCGGCGCACCCAATCGCCCGAATGGACGTTAAGCACCGTGCCCATGAGATCGGAGCCACGATGCCTTAGCTTCCACAGTGCGTCCATGGCGGCATGGGCTCGCACCTCGAAAATTGGATCGCCGGTGAGCCGCGACAATGCAGCAAATTCCAGGAGAATGGTACCAGCACAAGCGGTACACGTTTCACGGGACTTCTTTAGCATCGGATCCTTCATACCCAGGCGGAGATTAACCCTAGCATGCGGAATGCCCGTGGATGTGTTGAACGCCGGTAGCAATCGGTAGCCCAGCTCGCGAGACAGCTCCAGCAGTTCGCCCTTGTACCAATGCATCGTGTCCGCATGCTTTTGCAGATACTCTGCCAGAATGTGCGCCGACAGCAGGCCACCGACCATTCGAATGTTCGTCTCAAACACCGACACAATAATGTCGCTGTCGAATTGGACGTCGCGTATAACTAACTTCACCGCGTGTTCAAACTCTGTGAAATCACCCAGCAGCACCAGGGTGTCCAGAGTATCCACCAGAGTCATGGAAAAGCTAAAAAAACCTTATTAATGTAACCGCCAAACCTAAGGTTATTTAACTGACTTTCCGAGGATGTCGTCCATGTCGCCACGCGATGGCGTCACTCCTCGGTAGCGTCCCTTGCAGGAGAGCGGCATTAGCTCATCAGCTGGATAGGCGTTCTGCATGTAGGCGTTATATGCGTGATAGAACATATCGCGAGCTTCTTCCCTGAAATCAAAGAACATATTACATATTCAGTTCAGCTACTTTGTTATAGTTCAGAACAGCTTTTAGGCTTAAGCGTTTAAATACTCCTATTTATATGAGTCATGGATATACAATTGTACAGATTTTATAGTGGTATTTATAAGCACCACATTTAAATTAAAAACCATAAATGATTACCAACGAGTTATGCTAATTTGACCTCCTCGTTTCTGATGCTTATATGGGTTACATTTAAATAAATTGCTTTGATCCTCCTAAAACCCAAAGTAAATTTGAATATCAAGAGTTACAAATCTGAAACTTTCGTCGTTTCGTGAAAAATAATAGTCGGGAAGAAGTTGTCCGTCAGAAAACACAAGGTAACCTTACAGAATCATAGATACTACAATATCTAGCTGATACTTACCGGAGTTCCGCCCTCTCCTTGTTGGACATGTTCTGCGTGGGCATGGTGGTTTCGGTGCTAAGGACGCAGGCAACTACGATGCACAGGGCCACCAGGAAGATGAGCATTAGCCGCTGGCCATGGATGAAGGATTCGGAGATTGTGGCAGGCATGATGGTGGCTATCTGGAGATTACCAATGGAGGCGGTGGTGGTGGTGGTGTTGCTGGAGGTTGTGCTGGTGACGGCGGATGGCTTTGTCTTTCGGTCTCGGCCGCCAGACTTGCCGCTCGAGTCGTTGTGACGTTGACCTTCACTTTGAACGTGTGGTGTTGAAACCAATGTTTCGATGTTTCTCTGCGCCGCTTCTTTGTTGACTCCGCTTTGGGCCCGTGGTCCGCTTGATTTGGCTCTGCAGCCTAATTGAAACAGCCAACTCATAATTAGCTTAAAATTTAACAAACAATTTTGCTCGACTGAAATTAGTCTCACCTGTGCTTGATATGTCGACCTAATTTGTTGTTGCTATTCGCCCGGTTTTCACGGGCACTAGAAGATCGGGTTTCTCTGGATAAAACTCAAGCGCGGTGCTTCTACGGCATCTGCAATTGCACATTCATCCTCCCGACGACCGCGACGACTGCGACACACATCGTGACTATTTATAATCTCGTTTGGAATATGTTTTCTGCTCCAATAACAAACCACCACGACTGCAAAGCGAGCGTCAAAATCGTAAGGTTACTACTGCCAGCTACCATCGGCGGGGCATTACGATTCGCTACTATATATCCAGAGGAGTCTGGTTTTATAATTATCCGCGCTGCTTCGGTGGCAATTAACAGATCGCTGCTTATCAACGATGAATTCAAGATTCCTAAATTTTATCATGAAAAAAAAGATTGCACCCTTAGTGTGACCAGGTGTGCAGCGAGCGGAAGAGTGTGGCCCTCCACCATTAAACTAATATTGTTGGCACACTTCCGAGTTAACGTTGTTTATGCTTCAAATTAGTTAAAATATTTCATTAATATTTTCCATATTACTGATAACATAATAATATAATATATTTTATCATTGCACAGCACTGGCATTTGGTATATTTCAACCAAAGCCGCTTGGGACTTTTTTCTAAAACGTATTGGTATGCTTTAACCGTTCTTTTACGGTCACACTGCAACCCAGACGAAAAAAGACGCGAAAAGATGCAGAGAATATAAACAACGGTGAGATAATAATTAAACAATATGCCACAAGACATAATTTTTGGGTGACTAACATATTGGAGTTAAAACTGGAGAAATTACTTGCTATTTAGCCCAGAGAAAAGTTGAGACTGTGGGCAGGTGCGAGTCTGTGCATGAAACGGATACTTCAGACACAAAGGGTGAAAAAAGCGAAACCAGAAGTTTCGGTGGCTTTATATGTATTACCACGAATTAGATACCCCTGCTATTACTCGATTATCTTCCGAATCAGAGCCTCAAATCGTTGCCCTTGGCAACATCTTCAGCTGCACCGACGTGCATGTATGTGTATGCACATAATATGCTCACACACACGCACTTGAGATGAGTTTTCCCAAGGTAAAAAGGAGGCGAAAAGCCATGAATGAATTCTTAGAGTGGGCGAAACGGCGGGGAAATCTCCAGTTTGGTGAATGATTCCACTTGCGGGAAGCAGGGAATCTCTGCTAATTGGCCGCTTTACTGCCAGCCCGACTCATTAGCGGCTTTTCACATGTCACCAGGTGATGCAAGTGTATGCGTGTGTATGTATCGTATGTACATTATGTATCCGCACTATATACCCAGTTAAACGGTTGTTTCTCGCCCTGTCTTGAGCTCGGATTCCATGACAGATTATGCAACCCACTCTATTTCCATCTCTTTCGGCTGCTCCGATTCTTTGGCACAACGAAAATGAGATTCAAATTAATGGAAAAATATAACTAACTGCCATATCAGCAGTTTATTCTTATTTATTAGTAGCACTCCAATTTGGCAACTACTTTCTCGCTCTACGAGGCAAACATGTATGCCACATATTATATATAATTTAATTATTGTCTTAGATTCGTGGCACTTTTTTTTAGCCATATTTTTGCATGTGTATTTCTCGGTTTTTTCTGTCTGTGTGCAGGGCTATTTTTGTATCGGTTTTTCGTTATTTTTTGTTCGCATTTGTTTTGGCCAGATATCTGCTTGTGCGTTGAATATTTGCCATCAACAATCGTATTTACTTTGCGAATCAAGCTCTTTGGAACCTGAGATTAATTCAAATACCCCTGCGGCCATCCATCTTGATCACTTTTTGCAAGTGCCGGCTTATCAGTTTTATGGGCTCAGTTGCTCTTATCAACATTTTCCCAACAGCTGGCCATTAACCGATGTCAATTTATCAACAAATAGAAAAGCTTTACGCCTTCCATTTTCCACATATGTACATATATTCGACGTGGCACCGGGTCAGTCACTCGAGACATATTATACAATGGATAATTTTATAGTTCTCGAGTCTTTTTATCCCAAACCCATTGAGTAATAATCTTGGCAACTGAAGTATACTATATATTATACGTAATTGTTTTGTTGGTGCAGGTTGTGGTTGCTGGGCGGCAAATGATTCGATATAATTGTTTATAAACAAATGCAAGCCGGTGGCATCAAGGAAAATTAAAATATGTGCTAAATTATAATGGCCACTTGCTGATTCACAGCGATGCGGATTACGTTTGTTTTCCTGACCATTTATTTCAATAAATCTTGACGAGTGCTTTAAGACCTATAAAACCTAGGACTTATAGCAATAGAAAGGCATATGAGAGCACGCCTATTAATGGCAAGTTTTAATGTTCATTTTGATTAGAAAAGAGAATAAAGTAGTCTAAGTAAATTATTCGCTTGATATATTTTCATTAACAATTAAAAGTTCTACAGTATAATTTTGTTCACACGTAGTAGTACGTTGCATGCCTTAAAGTTCTTAATCTTCATTGCGTGCGAATGAAAAACTGGCGTTGGAGAAGAGGAAACTCCTCCACATCCAGACAGACATGGTAGTGATGCATTATTTAAAGAAGAATACTACAAAAGTTCCCTCACTTTATGGTTCCACACATTTTCTGTGCGTCGCCATTTGGACACGCAACTGGTCTGCGCGTCCTCCACCTCCTTTAGAGCACCGTTTTATTTATATTATTTGCTTAACTTATTGATTTTGTCCATTTCTCAGTCTCACTTTTTCCTTCTCCCGCTGAAATGAGAGTTGCGACACAATTTTTTGGGCTCCCGAAGGTTAAAAGCGAAAATCAATAATGAACAAAAACCTAAATTAGTCCAGTTTAGTGTCCAGACATCCACAAACTTCAAGATGGGTATAACGGTTGCAGGATATACGCAGTGAAGATAGTTGACTATAACAAAATATAATATTAATATTTTAGTAATCAATAATATTCTAAAATCTTGTTATCTTCCCACCCTACAGGTGTACTATGCGACCATACAAATATTTGAGATTACATACTGAAAAATGGAAGCAATATCGAAGATTTCCCTGATATTGTGTGCCTTGTTTGTCGTGGTCAACGCCGTAGCGGCCATCAGTGGCGACAGCACCCACTGTCAGGCCACCTACAGCAGTGCCGAGGCGTACCTGGCCCAAATCCCGCAGCAACATCGTCCACAGATCAGGCCCCGGATAAGGACCTGGCAGGAGCACGAGTTCTCGCTGCTGGGCTACAAGTTCCATCTGCCGTTCGTGGGCCATGCCGTCGACTCGGATCTAGATGATAGTGACAGTGATGAGGGTCTGTGGCTGGATGCGACGGACGCCGGATCAGAGAGCGTAGAGGTGGAGGAGTATGAACTTCCTTCGGTCGGTCACGTCGATCCCTCGGGCAAGGTTTTTAAGCTAAGCTGCGAGCATGTGGACCTGAGGCGAGTTAACCAGGAGCTGCTCTCCCAGCGAAGCTCGCCCATCAACTACAACCAGCTAATGCTGTCCCATGTGCCTGCGGATCTTAGTAATCCCCTGAAGCTGCCGCAGCTCGAAAGTGTGAGGGAATTTAACTGGCAGAGTAGTGAACTTAAAGATGAATCGCTCAGGGAGCTCTTCACCCGCCAGCCGCACGCTTTTGAGTATATGGAACGGCTGAATCTCATCGAAAATCGCCTGGAGTGCCTTCATTGGGCCATTCCGCTGGCCGTGCGGCGCGTGAAAGTACTTAAAATGAGCGGTAATCGACTGAGCAACTGCAGTCTGACAAACCTGCAGCACATGAAGCAACTGCAGGAGCTGCACTTGGACAGAAGTGAACTGACTTTCTTACCGCAGCGCTTCCTGGGTGAGCTTAGCGAATTGCGCATGCTGAACCTCAGCCAGAATATGTTGACAGAGCTTCCACGGGATATATTTGTGGGGGCCCTGAAGCTAGAGCGACTCTATCTATCCGGAAACCGGCTGAGCGTGCTGCCATTTATGCTCTTCCAAACGGCTTCCGATCTCCAAGTGCTGGACCTCAGCGACAACCGCCTGCTTTCCTTTCCGGACAACTTCTTTGCCCGCAACGGGCAGCTTCGCCAGCTGCACTTGCAGCGAAATCAGCTTAAGTCCATCGGCAAGCATAGTCTGTACAGTCTGCGCGAGCTGCGACAGTTGGACCTCAGCCAAAATTCTCTGTCCGTCATCGATCGAAAGGCGTTCGAGTCTCTGGATCACCTGCTAGCCCTGAACGTTTCCGGCAACAATCTGACCCTGCTGTCATCCATCATCTTCCAGTCGCTGCATGCCCTCAGGCAGTTGGATCTCAGTCGGAACCAGTTCAAGCAGCTGCCCAGTGGCCTGTTTCAGAGACAGCGCTCCCTGGTGTTGCTACGCATTGATGAGACGCCCATAGAGCAGTTCTCCAACTGGATATCGCGTTATGATGAGTCTCTAGTGGATCCGCAAGTGCTCCATCGTTTGCGTTACCTTTCCGTGCAGCAGAATCGCAAACTAACTCATTTACCAGCCACCCTGTTCGCCAATACTCCAAATATAAGGGAGCTGCTGCTGGCCGAGAACGGACTGCTGCAGCTGCCCACACAGATATCAGGGCTGTCGCGATTGCAGCGACTTAGTGTACGTGGCAATAGCTTGGGATCGCTGCCCGAAAATATAAAAGAGCTCAGACAGCTGCACTACCTTAATATATTGGGCAACGAGTATCAGTGCGACTGCAGCATGTATTGGCTGACTGCCTGGCTGGCGAATACCAGCACTAGCCTGCGCCACCAGCTGCCCCAGGCACAGAACAATAGCAATGGCAGTTCCAGCCAGACTCCACTGGACTCATACGAGAGTATCGACCATCAAATCGATGCGCTCAAGTGTCAGTATGGTTATCCTGGCGATATGCTCCGCGTGCTAAGCAATCTCAACTGCTCGGTGCCCTCGGTGGTGCAGTTCTCCGAGCCAAAGATGCACCTGCTTCTGTCCACCGCCAAGCTTGAGTGCCAGATATCAGGGAGCCCAGTACCGGATATCATCTGGGTGAGTAGAGCAGCATGTTATTTTAGGCATTTTAATGTAAAATAGTTTAAAGACAAACCATTACCAACTAAAGCATATTTTTATCAACAAAATAAGTATAACTGTATAAGTGGATATATTTGAATATCGCTTATGATATTAGTAATTATTATGCCCTTTTTAAGGTAACCAGTCCTGAAAGTTTATCCTTTAGCTTCCCTAGAGGTGACTAAATGTATAATTCTTCCATAAACGTTTTATGAGGCACAGAGTTAATCGTTTACCCTTCATCAGGTCACACCACGCAATAAGATTTTACGCCACCATGCTGACCCTGACAAGCGGCCGATCATCATCGACAGCAAGGAGAATGCTCACCAGCCACCGAGTGCCCACGAACTAGCTGCCCTGATGGACGAGAGCTACATCCAGTCCTTGAACTGGACACGTCAGAATAGTCTAGTGGGTCGACGCGTGGTGCTGATGGAGAACGGATCGCTGCTGGTGCACAATATTTCGAGAATTGATAGTGGGCTCTACA